GAAAACTAGTAGAGATACGAGTACAAGTGATCGTCGTTGCTCACTGGATTGGGCTGCCAAGCATATGTGGGGAACCGTTATTAGCGTCGCACATAGACACGGATCCAGCAGCTACAATAGGTAGTCAGGTGAGTGACAAGGGCTACCGTCATCGTAGTGACCGCTTCATGGTGGTCACCACCTATAGAACGTCATAGTTATAATAGGAAAGACGCCCACAGCTATCTCGTAACACCGTATTATCTACAAGCTAATTATGCATATCTGGGAAAGGGGATCATCCACAGATGACCCCCGCACTGCCACTGAAAGTTTGTGCTGTTGTCTAACTTTATTGCCCTTAATGAAAAATGAGATCCTTGAGGAAAATGTGTTGTGAGCAGGTTCGCCGAACAAAAATATCCCATTTGTTAAATCTGAGGTGTATAAAGTAAACAAATGCCTACAACTGATCCTATAGGGTGGCATTTGTATTAACTACTCTTAAGATGTTGTTTTATTATTCAGGAATATCGAAGACTGCCAAAATATGCTAAAGTGCCGCGTAAACCGGCAAAATATGCAAATCGGCGATGGTCAATGACCTTGACATTTCGCTCACCTAAACAAAATGCTACGTGCGACATGTCACGGGAAGGTGCAAATTGATTTGACTAACTCTCGATTAAAATAGCAACTTCGGAAACCCTATAGTTTCGGCGAACTCAATTTGGGTGTGCCAGTAGCCTGCGGCGTGCGTCGTGTATGCGAAAACCCCCTGAAAAAGCCGACGCCTTCTGGACGCAACACTGGCAACTGGCATCAACCCGAAACTGAATCCTGATCGGCTATTGGGTCTAGACTCGTGGCCAATCAGATTTCGGCTTTATGATTGCCTGACCTTGTGCCCACTCGCACCACACCTATAGCACCGGCCGTTTCGCATAGGCTGTAGGATGCTGTAGGTCAAAAAGGGGGGCCAGTGGAGTATACTATGTCAACCGTCTTGGTTGGTTTATACGAATTTATCGTTGATTCACAACCTTGCTTTCTGGTTTTTGGCTCATGAGCTATTCACCTTTTCCATCCACAAAACTGTCGCAAACACTTACTTCCGGAGAATCACTGTTCCCCTGTGCCACCATAGCGTGCGTAGTAAAGCAGAAGCGGTATCGGTGTTGATTTCTGACTGTTACCACCGCAGTTAAAATAAAGTCCGTTTGTATTTGAATATGATATATCGGTCGATGTACTGAGCAGATGGCTTTGCGTTGGTCGACTTCGTTCAGGTCTGAACAATGTCTCCCGACACCACACTTCGAAACGTTTTCAAAAGCAGTCGTCTTTTCTCCTTTATTCTCAAAGAAAGATTATCTGTCGATGGCCGGAATACGTTTTTATACTCATTCCCTTAAACTAAGGTAATCCCGCCAAAGAATGGAGAAACACCAACTACCTTGACTAGTCTTCGGAATCAAGAGGATGATACCCAGCTCACTCGTGCCGCATCTACCAGACACGGAGGACAGCGTGTTGCCCAGCCAGAGTTTCTCTATTGTTCACAAGGTGTCTGTTAATCAACCCAGATCCTTGAAGCACCACACCGTCGCAGTGACCGAAACTACGACATCACAACCGGGCCATCCTTCGGCAAAACCACTTAGTTGGTGTGTTGGACTTGCCATCGTCCAGCTCACCTTCCTCACATAAATCCTGTGCTGAACACAACCACAGCACTGCCTGTACTGACGAAATTATAGTGGTTAGTTTCCCTAAGGAGTCTTATGAATAAGGCAAACCTTTGTCAGTAACTTGAACGATATTGACGGGAAGAAAGATGATATTGAGCGTGGAAAGTAGCAGTTTAAAAGCGCTACAAACTCAGGTGATCCTACTGACGACTTGCAGTATTAGTTCCTTCACAAGTGGATAATGTCTTCTCCCACTCGACTTCCTGTTACATTTCCACCACGTCCATTAAGTGGTTTCAACTGCTGTTGTCCCAGCCCTTGCAACTATACAACCCTAAAAGATCTTAACGAAAGTATTTTTGTTCTGATCTAAGTCGGAATATTCGGATAGTCAAATTCTACGCCTCTTCCCGATTCATTTCAGTTCACTAGCTACAAACCGTATACCAGCTGCTACAATTTCGATCACTGGAAACCGGAGAATGTGGGTGGTGGCTTGTGCTGCCGACAAGGAGGTCCAAGTGGCAATCGCGGTAGTGGGTATTTGAACGTCATTGACAAGGGGCTCCCATCGTAATGGACGCCGAAGGTGAAATTTCAAGAAAATTAAGATCTGGTCATACATGTCGATGGTACTACCATTTGATGCCCTACCATTTGCTCGAAGTAGTCATCTGTCGTTTAGCCTGTGGTCCGGTGGAAACTAAAATTATGGCCGGGTGTCCACGTGGTAGCGTACTCGAGTGGTGTGTGGTCCGGTGGAAACTAAAATTACCTCGGCCTGGTGTCCACGTGGTAGCGTACTCGAGTGGTGCGGTTGGTTAAATGAATTTGCATTGATCTGCCCACTTCCCTCTCCCTTACTACAGAAGTAATCAAGATTGCGGCGTTTCTAAGAGGCGGGTGCAGATGTCCGATGAAACTAGTAGGTACCTCAAAAATTTGTTGATTGAGTGAAACGGAGTCAATGGGAGGGAGATAATCTCGGTAGCTGGGCTCGTTAGTGTGAGGTGAGGGCCAGAAGGACCCTCACTTGCTGAGTGCACCTCCCGATATGTAGCGAATGCGCCGATATATGAGGATCGTAACTGAACATCAGGGGTGAGATGGCTCAATAGTTAGAGCGTTAATACACCGACCGAAAGGTCCGTCATTCGAACGCGACCTCTGCATCTCGACTTCTCTTGTCTAGGATTGAGCAACCCGGCAAAATCCCAGCCCTCATGCTTCCTTCGGGTGGCATGGCAGCTAGACATCTAAAGGGTGCTACAGCTGAGGTTCGCTGGGTTAAGGTGGTAACTTTAGTCCCATGTATCTGGTCAGCACCTTCTGCTGTCTGTGTCAGGACTGTGTTGATCACCGTCCGTCAAACTGGCTGCATCGTTGTGGACAACTTCAGTCAAAACTCACAGACAGTCGCGTCGTTCACGAGTTAACCGCGGATGACTCGCTGTTTCTGTCGCAGCAATTGTGGGGTGATGCGACCACCCGGTCCAACGGCTTCGATGTGGAACAGAACTTGCTGACGCCTCTAAACTTATGATTAGCGTTACCCATAGGCTTTTGCAATTAATATCTGCGTTCCGAGCAACCAGTAAATCTTCCGCCTCGTCGGCACTATGCAACGGCAGCGTTAATATGAAAAGATATTATTTTGCCAGCTCACTAGTACCGTTGCGTAGTGCAAACTTTGCGTCTTACTGCCGGACATATGTTTTTAGATTATTATCACGAAACGGCGGAATGGGGATAAAAGTCATTCACTAGTTTCGTCGCGATCTGTAAAACGCTCTGTGGAACGTATTACGTTGGTTCTAACATAGATTCGACAATTTCTACCGTCAAAGGGCACAACATTAAAAAAATCGACGACAAATAAACTTTCCCCGGAGTTAGCGCTCAAGGAGCGCATCGAAATGTAACCTGGAAAGAAGATGACACTCACTCACTAATTTAGCGCTGCATGTAGTACTAACAGTCACAAGGTGCTCGAATCCACTAGATACGTCACCAGTCGTAACTTACTTGCAACTAAACATACGGCCACAGAGAATGTCCAATACAGAATGCAATGTACGGTCGTGTTACCAACATGTATCTAATGTTTAATTATGGGGGAGATTCTAAATTGAGATTTCGTCCTGGAAAAGGAGCCAACCTATAATGAAGAACCGAAAACTTCTTGAAAGAAACTGATAACACGAACACCTGGCATTGATTCGATGCCCTTCAGTGTAAAGTATGGGGGCCACCATCACCTGCGTTGAGTACTGACGTCTTTGCGGCGGTTAAGCACTAGTATGCATTACTAGTGTATTGCTGTTAGTGATGATGAGATTCCAGAGACAGGAGACATCAGTGGTTAGATTTGTTGGCTAACGTAGCTGCTAAGTGGCGTGTCTAATTCTGCGCAAGCACCCAAGCTTTTGCCGTGAATGCATAGTCCCCTTCTCAATCTCCGAAACGTCCATTATCACTCCTGGATTCAATCGCCAACGATATCAGCTAGTACCTCCAATATGTAGCTATCCACCCCTGCTCTCCCGAACCATCAGCGAACATCTACGGCATTTACACGTTTTACGGCTGACCGTCGGCATGAAATCCAACGAAGTGAAGATGACATTGGTCACATAGCTTTCGGTACTGACAGTAATTTCTTGGTAAAATTTCCTCCACCAATGTTGAAGCACACTACTTTGAAAACAGCGGTTTTTTGTCAGTTCATCTAATCACCTCCGTCTCCAAGGATTACAGGAGCTCTCATTACCTTCTTTTCGTGATTTGAAGCCTACCACATTGGCACATATTCACTCCGAGCCGTTTTGGAGAGCCTGTCATACCAAGTTGGTCAATGTTCAGAGGCCTGATCGACACAGGTTAAGAATTGGAATATGTGTTGTGATTTGCTCTCTAAAAATCGCAATGCACTTACATTTCCCGCCGAAATTCGCTGCCTTGTGGCTAAGCTTTTGAGCCACAGGATTTGGTCCATAACCCTATCGTCCTATCTAGGGCTGGGCGCCCTTGCACTCCAGTCCACGTAAAACCATAATTCCTACAGCTAACAATCACCTTGATATGTATGCTTGGACAACTGGTTTCTTCCTTTAGATCCTCGGCCTATTACTGCCAATTCCTCTTATTGTGTTCCCAAGAAACAGAATACCGATAACACAGCTGGTTTTAGTCTCGTTAGTGTATTTGTTAGATGGGTTCTTGGGTTCGTGTTCCCACAATAGAACATGAGTTCGGAATTTTGGAAAGCTGGTTCCCGAACTTATCCTTTTTCCCGCTGTATTGTGACCGCATTTTCCAATAACGTTTCAGGTGAAATTTTGGAAATGATGCAAGACCCCAGCCCATTTCCTACGGATGGTCTTCTACGTTCCGGTGAATTTCATTCGTTGCACTGCGAGTGCGTTCACCTGTTACAGGAAATTCACAACCAGGTTAGTTGATAAACCCGACGTCCAAAAATTTACTCATTACAGCAGTATATGGCTCCGAACCGAGCGACAGGGTCGGTAGGTTTTCCCCAAGTGAAAAATCTGACCACTTTCCAAATGACGTACATGGAGCTTCGAAGGTGGTTGACGCGCATTCGAGGATTATATCAAGCAAAGTTTAACTCCTCCCTGTGTCGCTCGGAATCTTGTCTTCATCAGGTAACCGGTCTTTGATCCGAACTGTACTCAAGGTTGGTTTTCCAACTTCTTGCAATCACGGACTGTTGATGCTCCAAAAGAGTTTGTAAAATGTTTTGGTTACTGTCAGGAAGTTCAGAGTTCTGAAATAAGCCACCCCCGAAATCCACTGAAACCCTCAGCTCTCCTACGTGCAGACCAGACAGATAACGCCCTCAACACCTAGCGCTTCACAGCCTTGTATCAAACCCAGACAGCGCGAGTCAGCGTTGACCAAGTTCAGACAACGACTTCGCAGTATGCAGCACGTCACAGCCTCGTACCACAGCCAGACCGCGTGCGTCAGCATTGGACCAAGTTCAGACAGTGTTGCTCCAATAAATAGCTTGAGACCGTTGTATTTTTTCACTTGCGCACACTCACGCTGTCACACTCGCTTGTTCGGAATATAGCTGTTGTGTTTCCTTCTGCGAATATTTTCTCCGGTACTAGGTACTGGAGCGGGGTCGGCAGTCAGATTGGCGACGCCCGATCCCAATGAACCATGACAGTATTTGCTGAAGCGTTGAAAGAAGTTCTGCTGCAACAGCAAAATCAGTTTGAAGTGGTGTAGTTACGTTTGGTGGAAACATTGACACAGTAACTTAAAATTCAACCACCAAATTCCGCTCCAGACACATTCAGTCGGCTCGATCGCCAACAGCATCACGGAGTTCCATTATAATCCTGATGCCGGCCTACCCTTCGACTCGTGGTTCAAACTTTAGGGAGATTTTTTGAAAGTCGAACTGAAGGACAAAGATAATGCGTGGAGAGTACGCTTATTGCTCAGAAAGCTTGGCACAACGGAACACATACGGCATTCCAACTTTTCCCTGCCGAAGAACATGCGAGATCTCAGTTTTTACAAAACCGTGTAGCAACTTTCGATGATTTTTGGTAAGCGTTCGTCATTGTTCAATATTCGCTACCAATGTACGAAACTGGAGAAAAAGGAATCTGAAGAGTATGTCACTTATGCCGGTAGAGTCCACCCTTGAATGCGAACAATTCTAGTTATATACCATGACGGAAGACCAGTTCAATTGTCTTATTTTCGTATGTGGTCTTCATGGCGAGACTATTGAACAAGGTTGAACCAATGTTGTGTATGACGAGGGATGGAGTGCAACGACAATCAGAATGACAATGGAAAAGACTGAGGGCCCGAAAGCTAGGCTTTATTCATCCAAAACTGACACTGAGAGCTGAAAACGGAAGAAAGTGATTTAGCAATAAATGATGAAACGTTTGAAAAACAGAGCAAATATACAACATTCACCCCCCGCAGAGATGAAAATTCTGAAGAGTTTGCTTTATAATTGAATAATGTCAGGCCTCTGTTGCGCAAGACATACGGTCGTGTCCGCTGTTGTACAACCAATGGGTGTTCAGCAGAATTCGGCGTTTCACTTTCCGAAGCAGAGTCAGATAATTCCGGCTTAATAAATGAATCAACATTAGACTGTGGATGCTGTACTGAAGCATCCAAAAACACTACTCCATGTACTATACGCAGTCATATCAGATCATCGTGAGATAATTCTGCTAACATCATCTTTGGAAACTGACCACCTGGCCCACATTTTTCTCACCTTCAGATGTGTTTGCCTTATCAGGCTATATTTTACGTATCGCTACGTACCACTGCTGCACGCAGTGACTACGATCTCACTGTCGCCTCACCTCGAGGCACTTTGGCCGTATGTCGATAAGTTTGATAGTCAACGTTCACATACCTAACTCTGCAGTTCAGCAGTTCCACTCAGTTCCCTTCATTCGATTGACACAGAAGGCCCATTGAACTATTTGACCAATATGGATTTGGAAGATTTTCCCGACGCTTGTTGGTACAGGAGACGAACTGCCCTACAAGGAAAGGTCTCTTCCTTATCCACTCACAAATAGATCACTTTTTTTATCTGCAAATGAGCTGCCATATTCAGCCGTGATAAATTAACATCTACTCACATGGACAGTTCATATAGGGACATGAAATGTCATGAGGTGTGGAGTTAAAATAACCGGTCCTATCTTGTCGTTTCAATGATTATGTCGGCGCTTTTTGACGAGTTTTATTCGGATGATTCCTATACTGGCAGTATTCTTCAAGCGCTTCCCATTTGATGATGGGGTAGACGCCTTGGAACTGGTTACGAGTATGTTGATCCTGCTGGTTGGTTGTAGCTGACACTCCCACCGTTGATACGCTCGTTTTGCCTTCCTCTACCACCGCTGTTACATGCAAATTGGATAGCAGTATAATGAAATGGACTCTGTAACCCTTGTATCCAATGCTTATTCATCTTTCTCATTGGTTTTACGTGTGAAGTGTTGACTAACAGTTGCCCTCAGAAAATGATAGAGTCGCAAAAGTTTTTCTCTTTGTGACCACAACCTCAGTTTCTGTGCACAACAACCCCAGTTGTGGAAAGCCAATCTCCCGAGGATTCCTAGACAAACATCCGATATGCTTATTTGTTGCACTGCTTAGTACAAGTAGAACAGCTTTTTTCTCTGTGCTAAAAACAGTTTTCTCGTACATTCCCTCACCCAGTTCCACTGTTTATTGTCTTTTAAACCTTTTGCGATCAAGCAACAATATCTGCGTGCATTTGGATCTCGAGAGACCGATATGAGTCGGCTTCAAACACTCGGAGAGGTGTTACTTCGGGAACTATCTGGAGCTGACAGTCTGGGACTGGACGTCCAGTCAGGCGCGATAGCCGGTATCAATATTGCGGATCAACTGGATGAAGTCAACCGACTGTGGCAAGATACCACTGCAGGGCTGTTCGCGAGTTTTGGGCGTGATCAAGTTCGCTGTTTGCGCTGTAAGTTTCATTTATAGGAGCCACTCTGTGGTTGTCATTTCGTGAGGACTGGTGCATTTCCAGTGCCCTTCTAGGGTTGACTTCTTACCTAACAGTAGCCCTTATGATAGGTGATTAGGCTTATCAGTGATTTTTAATCAGATTTCGTGTTATCAATGCGTCCGTCTGTTTTTGCATTTCACTGTCCGAGAGCGGATTGAAACAATGGACGACGTTTACCGTGTTCGTCTGGATCATTTTCGGTTAAGTCTATGCAGTGAGGCCCGGCGTACTACGCTATGAAATGACCAAAAGACTGTTCGGAACAGGAGATGAACCTCTTGAATACGCTTCGTGTGGCAAACTCTCAATAAAACCCTCATATTTTTCTATAAACTTCGATACCCTTAGTCCGATTCGGCGACACTCTACGCTGGCTCACAAACGATTCCATTGTCTGACCTGGTTATGCAGATCGGCAGTTCCACAGTACGCCTGGTCGGGCATCACCACCTGGGGGAGGGGGGGCTAACGTCATACGGTGATGCTGCTCAAGAAAGTTACCCCATATTTATAAGATATTCCTTCTTTAAGGGTCTTGTGGCTACCAGACAGCAAATACTCAATAGTAACACATTACTCACAAGGTTGACAGCCCACCACCGGTGTGACCCTTCTTTTGAGGCTTGTTAAGTTTTTCCCAAGCAGTCAAGCGGTGTTGTTTTTCAGAAACTGCGTCATATCCGCAGTGGCTCTGTAACACAATCGTGTTTTAGCCATGTTATTTTCTTCCCAGGTTCCATCTCTGGCAGTACTCTGCGGGTATGGTTCTTCGTTGAGCTATGGCGATTCCTTCTATCATGTTTGTTTTCCTCTGCGCATGCTCATTGACTAGTGGACACCCCAGTAAACCGTAGACAGCATATAGTTTAGACCCAGGTGGGCCGCCGCTCATAAAGCGCAGATAAACTTTATTTCTCGCCTGTAAACACCCACACACAGATAGAGCTATTGCTTTTCGATTTAGTTGATGATCAGTCACGGGAACGGGCTTGAATTTGACGGTCCAACAACACAAACTTGAGACAAAGTGGATAAGCCAAAAGTGTGATGGGTGTTCATTCAGTTGTACGTCTCACACTTTGTTGACAAAACCAGCACGTCAGCAATCTGGACTCGTTCACACGCAAGTTCCGGAGTCGAAATAGAGATATACCACTTTAGATGGCCCAAGTGGTTAGAGCGCGAATTCACTGACCGGAAGGTCCGTGGTTCGGACCCGACCTCTGCCACTCGACTTCCCCTGTCTAGACCTGGGCCACCTGGCAGTATCCCAGCCCTCGTGCTTCCTCCGAGTGGCATGGCAGCTAGGCACCCGAAGGGTGTTACAGCTGAACAATTGTTTTATTATTATTATACCACTTTAGAAAGATCTGGCCGCACGGGATCATACCTTATGCCTTCTAACCGGGTGGTCCGGAAGATCCTGATTCCTGTGGGAATTTTAACGGTATGCCCATAGGGAATGTAAAGATGTCCCGTAAGCGCGAGATATTCCCCATTATGGAGCATCGTACCGAAGTTTTACACTGCGTGTGGACTGCTTGGTTTAACTTGCTCGCACCGTGCTCGTTCACTTCATTCTTCCTTTACAGACATTGAATTGGACGTCCAGGAAATCGAAGCGCAGCTTCGTTCTATCAACCGATGTGAGTGATTCTACCATTTCNTATACGTGTACAAATGGGTGTCTTTCGTGATATTTTGATTATTCTTCCGAATGTTTGAGCATAACCCTGTGGATGTCAACCATCCATAATTTAAGAACACATCAAGCTGGACCGCCTCTTTCTTCTAGAAGCTTCTTTGCAAATTACGGACGCCTGTTATCGGATGGTTGGACTGTTTTCAACGTTTGACTTTATCTCAACACTTGGATTCGAGATGTGTTACTCCTGAATGACTAATTGTAATAGAATGCAATCTTTGGGTCTCTATAGCTGTGGTTAAAAAACAACCGGTCACGAACTATTGATCTTGATGGTGAATCTACTCCATTGACCCATACAGTAATGTCGCCGGACCACAAGCAGGTCGTTGCAACTCAGTTATCACCTTCATTGGGCTAACGAAGCCGCTAGCCAGCTAGCTGTTGATCTTTGCTCATGAGCTTTGTAACTCGTGTACATCTCACAATGTGCTTACTGCAATTTGTCTGTTGCTGTTGAAATTCAGTGAAAAATTCATTCATTTGCCAGGGTACCAGATCCTTGGGGTGTTGGCGATGTTGTGAAATATAGTTAGCTTGCGTGCGTTCCGTGGTAGTTGCTTGGGTCTGTTCGCCGAGCTTTATAGTTGACTGCAAAAGTTTCACCACCAATCGAGTTGAAATCATCAGTGCGGTACTGAGTGTGTAATTTCCTCATCTTCTGCCTGAGCGTATATAATTTATAAAGTTTATCTAGAAACTGTAAATTGATTGCTTTGTCGGTGCTTAGTGTTTACTTCGTTGATCAGTTGGTTTACATGATCGGTCGGTTCTTGACCGTGTTCCTAGTCCACGCAGAATACTCCGAAGGGCACAAGTTTACCATTTAGGATGGTTGGCAGAAAATCAGTCCTACATTTTACGCCAATTGTTTTGCCTGACATAGGTGATAACTGTGTTTCTGAGCTGTCTGGATGCCAAGGGAACAAATGAAGAAGAGCCAAATGCCTCGACATATACTTCCATCTGTTGTGGACTCGTATTCTTAGTCACACGGTTTAGCCCTCCGGTTCACTTCAATAAAACATAACACGTGCGTCATTCTGAGGACCCCGAAGCATCGACAGCGGGATATGCACGTGTCCTTATTGCAACTAGTGGTACGACGCGATTCACACAACTAGACTGTGTCCGTATTGATAGTGTGCCCTGTGCTTGGAAAATCGGATCAGACCCTCACTCTGCGTAAGCCAGTGAAATATCAACCGATCTACCGCAGGATTACCATTGGTGCATTCCTGGATACCAGAGGGCATTTAGCTTGGTGGAACTTTTGGAACTGTCCACAGAACATCGAAATAGCCGACAATAATGTCAATGTTAGAAGTATTTTTTTATGGTCACAGTCCTGCAGGCCAAACCAGATCATAGCTCAGAACACAACGGTTACCGTTGATCACTTTATCGAAAGCCTTACCTGGCGAAACGGAGAACTGTTGGTACTCAAACCATAACCAATCATAGTTCGTCATGGGTACGAGCTATGAATAATTCGGACCTTTGTACAACCGCACCACTTACTAATTCAGGTATCTATCCATCTTTTATATGGACGATTTTCCGCTGTCTTTTCCCGGTCCGAACTGCATTTTGACGGTTGATGCTGTGCTCACTTAGTGCATCATGTCTGTTTTTGATTTCTTTATCACCCAAAGTAAGATGACCAGCCACAAGCAGCTTGGCTGTTGCCGCCTACAAAGGTATCCTCAACTTCCAGCTACTTGTGAGTAGCATAGCTTTAAATGATAATTTATTCATTACGGCCGTGCATCCCGTCGTACCGACTGGAATGTGGATGAAACTTCAGTTTGCGAAATTCTACTCTTCAGTGTGGTCATAATATTAATACGCTGATTGGTTATCCTTGTTTACAGGCACAATGAAATTAAAATGCCAGTTTCCTGACCTCTCTTCGACTGATGCCTTCGTGGGTATGTCCACTTTGGGAACAGAGCTGAAAGTAAGTGCGCTTCTTCCGTATGTTCAGCAAACTCAAAGAGCTGGGATTTTGATCATTTAAGCATGTAGCCCTTAGTCTGCTTGCGGCTATTGCTTTCCAGAGAATTCCTGCAGGTGATGTGGCGCTTGTGTTTCAAGTTGTTCTGTATAACGCTTGTTTTCCGTTACTTCAGCTTCAGCATGCCTCTTTGAAGCAAGCTCTTCGGGTGCTCTCCTCTGCTGATCAGCTACTCAACTTACTGCTCTCTACTGCTATTGATCCGGTTATCCGCGGTCTGGCTGCCACCATACATAGTTCTGAGTCCTCACGACCTGGCGGTTATCTCCATGATCCACTGAAAGTGCGCAATTTAAGCGCAAAGATAAATGACTTGGTTCAAGCAGGTTATGATATCTGGCTTACGCAAATCGAGCTTCGGGAGCGATGGAAAGTTCGGTCCAGTGGCCGGGCCTCTACTGATATGGTGAGCATATTGCTTCGTGTTTTTAGCGTGATTTGTATATTTTTGTGATGTATTTTTGTGATGAGCAAGCGATGCTGTAAGCCATACACAAGCAATCAAAACAGCTTTATCGTTATTCAGCGCCCGCGCATTTTACTACTTTTATGATATCTCTGTTCTGAGTATTTTTGGGAGAACAGCATCAGTTTATATGCGGATGTCCAATACTTTCGGGGTCAACTTTAGGTGTACCTTAACAGCTACTTTGATGTACATATGATTTCGTCATTTGGAACGATAATACTCCTGACAGTGATCTATTCGAAAACTGACCACGTCAGCTAACGTCTAGTAGGCCACTACCCAGGTTATCATCAGAAGGGCAGAAGACCTCTTTTTTATGAATATATCTCCTGGGGACATGGTTTTGTTTGACATGAAGTGATAGGCTCCAGTCGAGTTATCTGTAGGTGTGGATTTCGCGCGTGGTGATCGGTTCCAAGGAGTAAATGTGATGTTGATACGCTCAAAATCGTTACCTCATTTGCATTTTTCTGTATCCAGAGTGGAAACTACCCCTGATGAGATCAGAACATAACTTCGTGCTTTGCCTGCTGAAGCCTTTCCTCAACTGCCGTTTAATCATTGGCAGGTCGGCTTGTACACTCCTTCGGAACTCGTTTTTTTACACTACGACGTGGTTGATCTCCGATCAAGTTTGTTTTCAGATGATCAAGGACAATAATATACGAATGATAGAATCGCCCTCGTGCACATACTAGCTTGCTGGTACATTTACTTTCATAAACGGAGGACCTCGAGCCTGTTACAGGAAACCATGATTTAACCTCTTGGTACTGAATAAGCAGTTTACCACTTATAGTTGGATACCAGTATCTTGTTACTTCATTCCGGATAAGCAAGCATCCGCAAACCAGGGGCTTTCAATAGTTCAATTACGCCTGTTCGGAGACAAGAATAGTCCTTTGCCATTATGTCGTACCCAACCTAGTTCATTTGAGCTCCCTCACGTTAACAGCATAATTCGATGCGGCCGGAACACCAGACAACCTCCGATTCGCGTGAGTTATCTGTTGGTGATATGAACATCTGCCCAATGACGTCTGGATTTCCTACAGCTCCTCTCGTGAACAATTGGTTCTCGCCATCCCAGCGAAATAATCCACGTTCCGAGCTGAAAATTTATCCTCCACTTTCTCCTGCTCCTCATCGTCACGGTAACAAAGACGCCTCATCATTCAGTGAGGTACGTGTTGAAAAATAAATGTCTTTGTTTGGTAGCAGACTTACAAGCGATTTCCATGATCCCTTGTTTCCGCTAAATTCTCAGAAGGGAACTTAGTAAGTAGATACCTTTACGGGTTAGACTTGAATAGGATGAAAGATGCCGTGACCTAACATTAAGGAGAACAAAGTTTCCGTATTTTAGGTCTGTTAGCCATAGTTTAAACGATGCCGACACCACTATTGTTCCACTCAGAAGAAAGGAGGTGGAACGGAATGCGTACTAACGATAGACCCTTTATTTTGAAGTCTTTTCCACGTACGATGTACCTGTGAGTGATTCTGTCAAATCAAACTGACTCTCTAGATATCATTAATTCAAGATAAAGCCCAGTCATTACGACCGCTATTCACTACTGCTAGTTAATATCGATTGGACGTCGAACTTTCGTATTCCTTTTAGAAAAACACTCCCTTTGGAGAAAACAAGAAGGTCTTTCTGATACCCCGTCATGTTTACTTATCTGGAACGAAACCTCATAATCGTCGCAGAAAAGCACCACTGTCAATACTGATCTTACTATAGCAATGCTTTCCATATCTACTTTATTGTCGACTCAGTTACCCAGAGATCCTGGTGCGCTTTTCAGAGTGCCGTTCAAACGGTTGATGTTAGGCACACTGCTAAGCGGGAGGTACCCGTCCAAGGAAGGATTTTTTCATCGTATAAGTATTTCTTGCTAGTCATGGCTCACTGGCGTCCCAAACACCGTCAGTGAAACCTAAGACGTGAAATTAAAATTGCATGACGCCGTTCAACAAAAGTTCAGCTACAGTAATTGCCTACTAAACGAACCCCTGCAGGATGCGGTCATGGTACTTCCTTTAGGAACTTTTTATGAGGTTTATCGCTTGACATTCATAATATCTACACATATCTTCACGTCCCAATGAGCTGTATCAGCTTCAAACTACATTAACTAAAAGATCCTTTTAGATAAGTTTCTAGAATACTGTTTCTTCTATCCAACCTCAAAATCTGCGTTGGAGCAAGCCTCCATCCTGGTATTCTTGCCATCGTGCACTGTTTTCTCCGTTATTTTTTAACAGAAAATTGACCAATGCTCGCCAGATTCTTGGGCATTTTCTCCCGCATACAAGGAGTCAGGTTTTGGGAGTGCCTCTGACGGTACTACGCCGTCAATGTTTTCATCCCACCTCAGTTGTTCGGCTTCTGATCGATCAGCATACCTTGTTGAGCCATTTGTTGCAGATGATGCTTTCGTGAGCATTTGTGCCACACATCCAATCAAACCTCGTTCGCTTTCCTTGGATTGTCTTCGAAGTGCCTGTTCAGTGCATTTGAGTAAGTTCAGTTGAAGGTAGTATAATGTGAGGCATAAAAAAGAAAGTGTGGTTGAGCTACAGACTTTCTAAGCTACATATCATTCCCTTTTTCACCAAAGCCGTAGCTGCTTGGCTCATAGATCACTTTCAAGGTTCAACCTTGAGACTGACTCATTGACATTAAGTGTGCACGCATTGACTCCGTAACAGCGTAAGCCATGAGAGCTTTGCCTCGCCCTGGACCGATGTATAGCACCTTATCGTTACCCTAATTGTGTTCGCTGGTTGTTACTCTTATGAGGTGGATTATGTAGCTGGAATCCAATTAGTACAGTTCATGTTTATATATTTCATGAATGCTAATCAGTGAACACTAACCATTTAAATGCTTCTCTTGGGGGCCGTCGCTCTAGGTACCTTCGGGTTCAAGGCATGACATAACAGTGACATTCAAAATACAAGTATCTTGCAAGATTGTCCACCATCAATGGGCATGATACTTTCGCGCACAGTCACACTACGTCTGCTGTGGATAGGCTTTCCCTCCTAACAACTGGATCTGGGTAGATTTGGTTAATGTTTCGACCGCAGCTCACCTCATTATAATCATGAGAGCACTTAACATTTGCCAGGACAAGGCATCTTGTCCCGAATAATGCCCGCACTAGTTCGTGGTGGCATATCATCGAACCCTCCAGTTTGATTTCATCCTAGTAGTTACCGATAATGCACTCACTTGAACTCAGAATTTGGTTGCAAGGAAATACTGCTTAGGTTTCTCCGCCTGACTTGTGCTAATTGTTTTACCATTTAGGCCTATCATATCTACTGTCGTTAGCTGTCATCGTATATGGTGACGATAGTGGAGTCCAGGTTATCGTGCTTCACTTCCCGCCATCATCTTGAAATTGTGCTTGTCACTGAGACGAAACTCGGATCTGATTTTGCTTTACTTTACTTGCAGTAGGTACTCAGCAGACAGACGACGCTATGGCGACTCTGACTTCCGACGATCTTCAGGCCGCAGTCACCCCCGAAATCGACTTGGCAGACGGCGCCAAGTTTTTCAACACTGAACGGGGCCAGTTGATAAGCTCCCTTTACATAGTTCGCTCTAAGTCCCTTCCAGCTGGAATCGGGGTTCCTCGATGCCCACGAACGATCCCCAAGTCATCCTACTCGCCCAGACGATCGGTATTCACTCCCCTCCAATCCAGGTTAGTCTTAATGTGCTACCGCCGAATTTTATTGAATTCTTTGCCGATGAGCTCTAATGAAAAACCTTTGAACTCCCTGCCTTAGTCTAGACTGAGCACAATAATTGCATCAGGACGAGAGGACTGTTCAAAAGAGTGATCTGAATGCAATTGTCTCCTGTCAATACGACTCCAATATGGCTTGTTCCTATGACGCTATTTCCTTCATCTTTGCGATTTTCTGTGTGCTTTTGTACAGTGTGATTAATGTCGTCTACTTTCGCCGTGTTCCCCTCGCGTTACCTTTGTTCCACCAAGTCCGTGGTTAGTTAACTGAATTACGCAAGCATTGAGAGACACTTATCGTTTATGCAGTGCGGTTGTCTCCGCCTGGGTTCCAGAGCACGTCTCTTGCTCTCTTATTTGCCACGCCTAAAATGCCTTCTGTCTGGATGGCTTTATGCTGGCATCAGCTATTGTTCATTATCATTGTCAGAGGGTACTTTGCTGAAACATCAGTATTAGGAAATTGTCATTTATGGTGCGTAGGTCGCATCTCAACATAGGCTTTGTGCGTAAGTCAGCTCACGTTCGGTTAATTTGTACAGCACACGAGCCTCGTACTTCAGATCAGTCAATACCAGCTGAAATCGCCAATGATACTGTCACCCAGACCGTATCGGTGAATAGTGTTACCGTCGGTGTTCAGCACTGACGAGCTGTGGTTGACGATGGTGGTGATGTTTCGCTCAGTATTCCTGTGTTTACATTTGCAACGTTTCTTTCTATTCACGCCTTTTTTCGTGAAGCTACTGTTATCGTTTGAAACCGAACTCGCCTCTCCTTTAATCTGGTGCATGCTCTCAGACCAACTTCCCAATAGTAATGTGTCCCAAGGCGCTCGCCACCGCCCTGAATTTTCTTGAATTTATTGTGGCCGCACTGTGGACTGTATTCTTCGGGCTCTTTTGTATCCTGATGTCACGTGTTAGTACCACAATCGAGTCTACTTCAGCTCATTTTTGAGTACAGCAAACCGCGTACGGTGGTTCTGATCCTTGCTGCTTTTGATAGCGCAGAAGAGCGTAACATAAATAGAGGTTGCTCGGTAAGCAACAGGAAAACAAATATTGCGTTAATTACCGAGTATAGTGGGTCGCCATGCCCTTCAGTGCCTCTGACCATCAGTTCATTCTCCTTTTTATCCCTACCTCAGGGACGATGTGGACTAGCGCAGCTAAGATACGTTACTACCTTTTCTCGTGCTTCGTCTCCAGGTTATACATTGCCAATCTCTTTGTTGCTTTCATTTGAAACCTGCTTTTGCAAACAGGGTACAGGAAGGCAGTTGATTGTCTGATCTAAGAAGTGACCGACTTAGTCGGTGTAGTTTGGCGCGGTCGGATCAGTTTACCAATCAGCTGATTTTGTTGTTAGAAATCATCCGCCGCACTTTAGCATTACCAATCCGTGCAGTGTTTTGGTCGCAGGTGACGTTTTTTGTCTTCCACCCACGGTGAATAGACCTCGGAGTTGTAAAGCAATACGAAACACGGTGCCGCTTCGTAGACCCTGCCTTTCGCTTACACTGACCTGGTCTAGACGTAGATGTACCGAGGCCACGAGAGAGCATAGCAGAAAGTTCCAAAGTCCAACGTGATACAGCTATCCAAACAAGTGTTTAAGCTTTCGCGGGTCTTCATCCAACGGCGCTTCCAGTGGCATGGACGCAAGATAGCTTGCAGATCCTGGCATTTAACGTCGGAACCGGCAATTCGTCAATCTTGCCCAATTGGTTGTTGGAGCTGCGGTTGACCTACCGCTGTGACGCTCTGAGCGAGTAAGCCGTGGGACTCTGATTTCTAATATTGCTGTGCACACTAGTTGTGATTGGAGTCGCATCCAGATGTGTAAAATTATCATTATTAGCTCAACTGTTCCGGGTATGTCGCAGCGCTCATGGTCAAGCTCAAGGTGGTGTCTTAGTGCAACTTCTACCACTTGATCAGCAATTTAACTTATATAGAGAGTAGTGATTTCAGACACAACAGTTCGTAGGACCCTGCCGACCCGATCGGTTCTTGCTGGATTTGAAAGCCAATGAATGATATTGGATTTACGCTTTTGAGTTGCCTTCGTCCAACGTGCGAGATGCATTCACTACACAGAAAGCGTTGTCAACGGATGACTCAAGCATCTACCAACTGCACTGAACGACTGTTGGGGTGCCGAGCACACCATTGGTTCCACAACCATCTATATTAGCGTGCACGGTCTTTCAGGATCCAAGTGCTCCTAAGGAATCTCGATATAGTCCGCTAACCAATCAACTTATAACACCCCAGCGGTACGCACAAACGTATGAAGCCGTACTCCAGTTCACCTACGAACTACCCGTCTGAAGCACAGTAAGCCACGTGTATGTCACAATCACCACCAGCACATCTTCGTCAGAGCTTGGGCCGCAGCTTTGATATATTGTGTTCGTCAGCGTCCTTCTAGTCGTACCTCATCGCACTCAACGAAACTTACTACCATTGTCGGACACCAGGAAGTCGGTACTTTTTCCAGACACTTGTTCTGTCATTCAGACAAACTGCCGCTATCCGAAGGCAGGACGACTAACCTGTTTTGACGCATCCCGTTTACCGCGGCGGAACTGTGCTCTATGGTGTTTGCATGTCGAATTGTATCGACCCTGGTTGTAGCTATCATGCACCGCGTTGTTGTATGAAGTTTCGCACACGCACGCCCTGATTGGCCGAGAGCGTGTTTTGCGGAACCAATTAGTTTTCACGTCTCAATGACGATCGCATTGCTTGTTTGTGTAGGACACGAGCATTTGTGTGGTACGTTCCTAGGTGGTGGTTTGTTTATCTGACGTCGAATCGGCTAACGACCCCCTATGATTCCACGGCGGATCTCCTCCAGATAACTATCTTGGTGAGTCAGTTCAACGCAGTGGCGATCTTTTCTGGGCAACGCATGATTTTCTCAGTATGTTGTTTGAAGCTTTTGTTACGTTTTGTAGTGCTAGCCCCTGTTTGGCTGAAGTACTTTTGTCTGCCGGCGGACTCGAGTTGTTATCTCCGTCGGATGTAAAAACATTTATTAGTGGTGATGACCTAAGTGAGATGGAGTTGTTGCAGAATACCACCAGCACTCGTTCATCAAATCTAACAGCTGTATTGTAAACGGTTCTTTACAGTGCGTTGTTGACTGCAGCCAAATGTCGCTAGAATCGTTGGTTTCTGTCGTCACTTTGAAACGTCTCGCCTCAGCGAAAGTAGGTATGTGAACTAGCCTACTCTGCAGTCAGTTTTCGGCTGCTGACGTCACGAATGTTACCTCATTTAGAGTAACAGGCGGTGACTGATCTTCTATCCGGTCTGTGATCCCTTCACTTGTAAAACCTCTAAAAGAATTGACCACAGTAATCGAAATGTTGGGACTAAGACACCACACGATGCCTAGGCTCTCCCAAAGCATCCGAATAATCATGCGCGAGAAGACCAATCGCGTTAGGCTGTTCCGTCTTCCTGGACTGTCATACTCGACCAGGCTGTATCTTCAGCGCTTCAGATTGGAAGCCAGTGACAAGTACGAATTTCTGGCGGAGCTTACAGCCTGCACGACACTACCACTCCAATCACGACAGAGACTCAGTCTTTCACTTCAGGCGCCCGAATATGCTTCGGCACGTCTGACGCTTTCTCATCTCACATCAAAAGAGGCCTGTGCAAGGTGGATACATACTTTGGTATGGTGACCCCTTTTCGTCAATGATGGATGAGTCAGGGTCTTGTCGGAAGAAGCTCCTTGTGGTAGGCAGCTTGGGAGACAAAGAGAGGTCGTGTACCACAGTACCGTAATCTCTCATCACAGTTAGAAGACCTTAGGTGTCTTGGTGAGCAGCACGTCGGTCCCTTTTAATAAAGGATCCATTGACTCGGTTTGATGGAATGAAATTCACGTTAACTTTGCCCGTTTAGGTCTTTCTATACTCTATGTTTTCCAATAACTTCACTGGAACCATAAATTGGTTTGCGTCACGCATGATGTGTGACTTCGTTTTCACCGGTAAGAGTATATTCTCGAAGGCTGTCCTTTATATCAGTCTGGCACGTTTAGTCGGCTTGCAGTGCCGGGTTGCCGAAGTGTTCCAGTTCAACCATCTTGCTTCGGGCAAAGGTTTAATACTCTATACTATTATGACGTTGCCTAAGTAGTTGGCATGTTGAAGTCGGTACTTCAAGCATAGCGGTAAAGGAGACTTCCTCTGCTGTGGTTGGATGGATATTGGGCTACTTGGCTGGCGAGAAGCTCATTTGGGTCGGGTAAAATAATCTAAAGCACTTTCCCGACTGTGATAGTGATCTCAGTTTGTTCAAGGGTTAGGGCACGAGCCAAAAGTTGGGAGTTTCACATTGACTCCTGACTTTGGTCACCCTTCAGTCTCAAGCCATTTGCTCCTTATGCGTTGTCTGATCGTTATTCACAAGATTACGTTCCACACTTAACGGTTACTTCCTTTGAGGGATTATGATGGAATTCTGTGTTAATCCTACTGGCGAATTCTTACGTCGATCTGACGTCAAATTCGTTTGTATCAGTCATTTTCGAGGTAGGAACTCATGCTGTCTGCAATTTGAGCTTAAGGATGAGATCAGCGCTTATCGAGTACCAGCGATAGGATTCTGGAGTTGATTTTGACATTGTTTGGCTAGTTTGCCTTGGTTTAGAACGGTTTGTAGCTCACTGGCTGGCATCGTTCAAAGTCGCTGCGTGGCTCCTTGAACATGCGCTTTTCTGTATTTTCATTGGTCATGGCGTTAATGACCCTTTTTCGAGGAACCAAATCAGTAATTCTTCATAGATGCGGTGGACTCTTCGGAGATGATTAATCCTATGGAAACCTCACGGGAATTGTCACCTAAGAATTAGCCCCTTTGAGCCCTAGGGGGACAGTATGCTTTCACTTCATGAAATCTCTAATTTCTTTCTTATAAGTTCTCCGTATCCCACCGCTGAATCTTTTTTTTCATTCTTACAGTCCTGTACTGTGCGCATCTACTCCGCACGCCAGATTTTCAGACTCGCCCGCAACACATGCGATCAACATGGAAGAGCTTGCTTTGGACCTGAGTCGTCACGGGCTGTGTGTCAACCCGGCGGATTTGGATGACAGTACATTTTCCGATTTACTTCCATCCACCACAGAAGCCGATTCGGGTTCGATGAACACTCCGGTCTCATTCAGCTTGTTTTCTCCGTCAGTGAACAAACCAGCACACATGGGTGAGGGCGACGTCTGTATGGATAAGTCGGATCGCGCGACTAGAGAGCGGATAACCAATGATGGGCGTCTGACAGCCAACAATGAGCTTGAATGGGATGATTCTGGGGATATTCGTGAAATGAGTATGTTGAATTTGTCTCCCCATGACATTGTTAGGCATTTCAGCGTGAGGCTCACATAATTAAAGGTACTCGCTCTCATCCACAAAGACTCGTACATCAGTTTCACCGCTAACCTCGTGATCACCAATGGTGTTTCTACCTACTGTGCATTGCTGATCAAATTTTTCCGCAAGGTGCTCTTCGCCACTTTGAGTGGTCTCTTGTTCTGACAGGCTTAGGGCTGCTCTCCAGGTATTCGGTATTTTCTGCCATTCATTCCGCTCCATTCGCATGATTGTGAATTTACGTCACAATTTTAAGCGCCATTTATAACCGGACATCAGCGTCCGTACGGTGTGACACATCAAAGCTCACTGTCCCAAAGCCTCTGAAATGTTACTTATAGAGGCGGCTTTCTTGTCTTGAATGATCTGGTTATCTTCCGAGGTGTGAGCCATATATGTTTCATTTAGCAGGATCCTTATGCAATCGAAGAGCTGCTGCTGCCCATTGAAGTCTCTTCGGGCGCCTGGTAGCCTTGGACGCTTCCCGACGGTTTGCTGGCCCTACTATGGAATAGTTATGGTAGGATAGTCCCCTCGACCTGATGAGATTTCTTTGTTGTCTTTTATATTTCCATCAATAAACCTGTTAAATCTGTTACAATTGCATTGCCCAGTGAATTTGTTTGAAAACACCCATTATGCCGGTCACTTTCCGGGTTCACTTGTGAACGCATGTGATATAGAGTGCAGATTATCGCACATAGGGAGCGAACTGTGAGTTGGAACGCCTGTGTAGACCAATGAAGTGTCTGATAACAGCTCTGGCCAAACGGTCGAGCGAACCCCTTGTGTCGCCACATAGTTAAGACAACTGCTGCTCCAATTTTTCACTTGGTTGTCAAGCTTTTGAAACTTTTTAAAATACTGTTTCCTAAGATCTTCAAAGACGTTAAGTAATTCTAGCCACCCTTGGTCAACTGTTTGCCGTCCACTGTCGAATTGTATAAGCAGTCTGTATGATCCACTACCGTCTGCATTACCCACAGCCACCAGATCAGTCTCTTCAGACAGCGGTTTCGGTCTCCATTCCGTTCCTGCCATAAACGTAGAAATTCCGAACCACATAATAGACGGCACTCCGGATACATTTTCGTGGAATGTCTATGATACCAACCCTCCATCGGTCAGTCGACATAGTCAGAGGCGAGCTTCCTTCACTTTTGTGGGTACGCATCATGTTGATTTGGAGCTTAACCATTGCGCGTCTTGGCACAGTTCTCTAAACTGCACGGAAAACAAGGTACTACAATCATCATCCCAAATCAAGGACGAGACAAGGACTAGAGACGCCTATCTTCGGAAAGACCCCAGCGTAAGTCTTTTTTATTTTGATGAGATGCACGCATCCAGTTCTTTGACGTTTTTGTTCACCGCGTGTCTGGTCTCTGATGTGACTCGTCAATGTGAATCTTTTCCGACGAACTTAGGTGTTGTCTTGGTGTTCTCCTTTTTGTCGCACCTGAGTCATAATGATGGTATTCCATGTATTATCGCCGCCTTCGACCTGATCTTTTGCAGGCACACTGTGCACATTATGTATGGCCTTTCCGAGTGTATTTTGAGAGCCTACGTGACCTACGTCAGTTGATTTCGCGTCTGGAAACATATCGATGATTGATGCAACCGAATTAACACTCACTAGTCTTTGAGTCATTCAACTCTCCAGGTCCTACAAGGTTTTACTCATGTTTATTGTCTTTGATGAAGTATGTATCGCATGTTTGTTCATTCCCACTGACATTAACCTACTCGTTTTTTGATGAGTAATCACCTATCCCTATATGACTCATCCTCGATCGAACTGACAGCTGCTAGCGCAGCGTCAGTGTTACTGCCACCGTTCTCAAAGCTTCATGCTGTTAGCTCAGTTTTTAGATTGTACATGTGAGCCAAACCAGTGCCGCTCTCCTCTAGCAGACAGCAGTGTCCACACTATCGTGTGTGTGTATGTGTATGTGTGAATGGAACCGATTAGCAGGCTTTGTCCGAGTTCACAGTCCTGTGTAGTTCGGTGTCCAAATTGTGATATCAGATTCGGTGCTCTCCACAAAATGCCGACCCGTGATGCAGGATGAGGTGTAACGAGACATTCAGCCAGCAGCGGCTAAGTGCGCATTTGTATTGTGGTCTCAGAGCCAAGCATAGCAACCAGCACACATCTATTTACCGGCCAGTGTGTTTGCCTTGGCAAGTGACCGATAAAATATTGTATCAAGATGCCATTTTTATCTTGAACTTTTGGAGTTCATGTAGCGGGTACAATGTCGGTCTCATGCAACTGCGACGGCCAATTACAAGACAGTGGTAACCAGACACTACCTTTGTGTGGTGTGTACTCGCACAAAATCATTCCAGACGATGCTGATTGAGACGTAGCCCGTGGACTCTTCAATACTTCATTTAGCAAAGCTAATTAGGACTTTTTTGGTCCGATTTCACAGTCGCCAAATTTGTACAGCAACTGATAATCCCATTCTGGACGTCAACCTCGTATGCGGATCACGGGAATACTGTCACTCAGTCTATGTTGACATATTCCATCATGGTTTATTCCAACTCGGATCTTTCAAGTCTCCGCATTTATAACACCGTAACATGGTAATTCCCAGTGCAATCCTAATCCGTACATATTTAGGGCGTACCCGGTATAATTTTACTCTTGCGTGAGGATAATCCAGCTTCTCCGATGACTCGGGTAGCAACTGCGGAACCTCGGGCGTCGGTGGCAAATCCGTCGTGTGTATTGATTCAGTTTTCGTTCAATTGGCGTGGGTCGTAGATAGCCCACAGACCCGGAAATTCAACATTGAAGTGTCGATCGAGGTTTTTAGCTGACCATCTTGACAAAAAACTTCATTCTTTGTGCAGTTTTAAGGACAAGAATAAGTGGTGTTGTGATTGGCGAAGAACACACCCAAACCATTGCAGTCGTTAGGTCAGTTGGTGGGTTCCAACGACGCCAAATAATCGACGGCGGACTTCTTCATTTAATACACAGTCTTCATGACTTTGAGAATAGTTCCAGTTTTCAAAGCAGTATATGTTGTATCTTTCGCTATTTCTTCGCCTCTCCAGGCAACCAAAGCTCCGCGCTTTTTGTGAAGAAAATATCAATTCCAAACGTGGTAGACGTCTGGTGTAGAAACTTGTCTGAAGGCAGTGTTACTTAATCAAACACGCTCTCCTACTTAGAAATCCGCGCCTGCCAGATCAGTTTATGGGTTTTAATTCACCACGCCTTGTCTTTCATTTCACAATCTGTGATTTCTGCTCAACTCTATTTCGCACTGAATGATCAGCGTTCGTAGTGATTTGTCTCCCCGTCAGTAGTTACTAGTAGTATCATTTAACTATGCATTATTACTCATTATCCTTGCTGCCGTGTAGAACGCACAAATCAAACATGGACTTTCGTCATCCCGGAACGATCTAGCGGATTCCGTCAGCCCTAGCGAAAAACCTATGCTTACCGGCAGTTCAGAAACACTGTTGAGTTTGTTTACGGGAAAGTCAGTCTTTGGTCCTAGAAACCCCGATCGGATTCTATCACCGGTAAGCTCGTACGAAGCAGCATTCTCCTCTTTTTTTCGCGTTTCATAACGTTTCCGAGAAGAAACTATGAGGTGTTCACTTGAGTTACATTAGTTTCCAATTAAGTTTCCAGAAGGGGCTGAATAGTGTGGAGCGCACCAGAATATGCGGGTCCTCTTACTTTTTGTGCATTGAACCCGAACAGTAGCACGCTTGGATGTCCAGCCCACTCCATCAGGTAAGGCGCTTTTATGATTAGCTCCGATAAATACGTCTAGTTATATGGGGTTAAGTAGACAGCAGTTACATAGTTTAATTAACGTGCCGTGCATATTCATCATGGGTGCGATGGATAACACGAAAGACTGGGCAATGAGTTTGAGGTGGTACGTGGTTGAGACACGAAATTACTGGCGGGAACATCCGTGGTTCAAACCCAACTCCGGCAACTCGAGTGCTCCTGTCTAGGCTTGGGTGACCTGGCATTATCTCAGCCCTCGTGCCTCCTACAGGTGGCGTAGCAGCCACACACCGAAAAGGTGGTACAATTGAACGATTGTTTCTTATCACTGGCAGACATTAAAGTAGTACCGGGGGGAACAGTCTCAACATCAGTCTGCTTGGGTTTTGTAAATCTTGACCCCATAATGGCCGACGTGACCTATGGTTACTCCCCGTCTGTTAGTGGCATGCGACCATCCACCTGTTCCACGACAGTGCCAAGACACTTTCGTTTTCACGATATCATCACCGCTTAGGAACAACGAGAACGTCAAGCATCACCTCGGGTGAAATGACTCCTTCTCCGTGCATACGTCATCGGAGGGTGACCGGTAAGCAGTTCTCCCAGCTAAGTATGGCGCTGTTCCTCTACCCAACGTCACTATTCATACTCATATTCATTATGAGGCACTTAGCTTTATTCCTATACTGCTGTTCTAATTACTCTTGTGACTACAACTTCTTAAGAGAATGCTGCTGAATAGCTATAAAAGTAATCTATTGTGCGCACACTGCGTGTTTCATTACGTATCAGGTTCGGCACGTAATGTCGAAATTTCAAGCCCGCATATGTTTATATGATAGCATGCTGGCTACTTTACGCGTACTGCTTGTCCTTCTTTTCTTTGCCTTGTTTTCTACTGCCACTGTGACCTAACCTGAGGACGAGTTCACAATTAAGTTCAATCTACGTCTTGTGTCTTTCAGGGTCCGTCCACGCATAATGCATTTTTTCCGTTTGACGCTGTGGGATTGACCAACGGCAACGGTAAGTTGGTTGGATCGGCCTTTGATTGGGTCGTTTACACACACGCGCGCGCGTTTTTCGTTGATCGATGTTCGAAGGCGCGTAAGATTCGTCTTATGATCACGTGTTGTCGACAGCCCGTTCATTTATCCGCGTATTAAGCCAGGCGACGGTCATGAATGGCGTAGTCGTACACAAGACCGATCACGAACTACGTCTATGGGTTAATCCGTCCCTTCATAGTAAGTTTGCTCTCTGTCCGCTATTCCACTGTGTAGCGACTCCGCGCGGGGTGCTCCCCACCTCATCAACAGAACTGGTCCATCTACTGGAATCACTTCGACAGGATGCACGTCCGTTGATCGATCTGATGTGTCGTTTGGATCAAGGTCTGGTTCCCGTGCATGCGAATGCGGAAAAAGGACGGACTGTGCTCAAGTCCGCAGAGACCGTGGATTTGGAACAGGAACGTATGCAATTAGATATTGACCGAAGCTTTTTAAAGGTAAGTTGAAACTTTACCGTGTGTCTATCTGATCAATGTAACTTAATTCCGCAGTTATGGTTTCAGTCATGTCAGCTGCGCAACTGCTCAAACGGCGCCATTAGGTTCACAGTGCATTCACCATAAAGTCCCTTCATTGTATAAGCTAGTTACACTAGGCGGAAACTGCAGTTTATTGCAATAGCCCTCCTCAAGGGAAACCTCTCCGAAAAAAACACCCCGCCAGCCAGCTTCATCTCACCTGGAATCCAGCTGAATCTCTCATTTGTGATGTTTCCAGGCAACCGAATGTGCTGCACCAGGCCGCCTCATGTTTCAATTGGTACGATATTCGAGATATCGCGATACATGTATATTCGTAATATACTACTCATAAGGTTGCATTAACTTTAACTTTACTTTGGATCCACCTCTTACAAATGCTTCGGCGTTATTTGTTGTGAGATAGTTGCTTCTCGAAACATGCCGATGGTTCATTCACTGGCCTCATCGAATATTGGTGGAAACAGGACGGAGTTGAGCAACTTTCCAGGTATTTTTTTATTTTTCGTACACCCCTAGTTTGTCGTTATGGACGAAATTCTACGTAGGATCTTATCCGCAGAGAGGTGCACAAAGCTTGCCCCACAAAATACTGCATTGGAACTTTGACTCTAGAAGTATCTACAACGAATAGCCACCGTTTTTGGATTTGTTTCCTGCATAGTCGTGCAAAGTGTTCCGGATACCTGCTACTATTCAATGTCCACGTTACGTAGCCTCGAGATAGCCCATCGGTTAAGGCGCGAATTTACGACCTTCGCATCTCGACTGCTTCTGTCTGAACTTGGGCGACCAAGCAGTATCCCGGTCATCTTGCTTCCTTCCGGTTGCGTAGGAGCTAGGTACGGAAAACGTGTTACAGCTCAACGGTTATTATCTTTTATACTAGCTGACCACCTTGGGTTCAAGTAGACCATAAGGTTGACGGAAAATTGGAGACTGCGCCTACCTGATGAGACCCAAGAAGGGCGAAATCTGTCAGGTGCAACCTGTCATCATTTTTATGGGTAGCATAATACGTCTATACATGTATCGCGATATCTCGAATATCGTACCAACTGAAACATGGGGCGGCCTGATGTAGCACATTCAGTTGCTTAGAAACATCATAAACGAGAGATTTAGCTGGGTTTCAGATGGGTCTTTCGCAAATCCAAGTTGGTTTGCAAATGAATGCATTTCACTTATTTCGTGCAGTTTGGGTTCAAGTAGAAACTTGGGGACTGCACATACCTGATGAGTCCCAAGAAGGGCGAAGATGGTCGTGGACTGCCGAAGAATCCCAATTAGTTTGCTTTGGGAAAGATGATACCAACTGCCGAAACCCAAGAACTGAAGTGGCCTTAACCCATCAAAACGCACTGTGTAAGCATATTTAAAGCGGTGACTACAGTTTCTGGCAAAGATTTAATGATGCTTCTTATGGGAGAGAGACTTACCCGGAGAATACTTCATCGTTTGTGAAGAAAGATATCCTCACAAAGTCTTACAAATCTGTTTTCAGTTCTGAAGGATCTGGTAATTTAGTATTAGATTAAAAATAATACTCATCAAAGAAATTCTACATCTCAGAAAAGTCCATAATGATGCATTCCGTATCATAAGATCTGTCCGGAGGGGGTGAAGACAGGGTACTCTAACGGGGTCACCCTCGATCAGGACCAGCTCCTACAGCCGTTCCTCAACAACGATAGCCTGTTATCCGTTGAGTAGCTTCCGTCCCTCACTATGTGGCGAGTCAAGTCAAAGCTAAAATGTAAGTATTCACCACCAAAAGCGGAATCCGCTTTCACAGCTACACAGTGGTCTATAGTGAAGTCATTATTCAATTCCATCAGGAAGCCACTCCCACAGGTCCGACCTCCAGAGGTCAACAACCTGAACTTTCGAAAATCGTCTTGAAAGAAAGGTGACGCGTTCGACCGTCCCGTGGTATCACTCATCAAAAGTGCCTCTAAAATTCTCAGATCCCACTGCACCGACAAGGCACAGGCCGCAGCACGTCCTCGTGAACTGCCCTTCAGTGGTCTTGTCATCCTGGGAATTAGCAAAAAACGTGGGTCATCACCTGTAAACCAGATGCCGTATAACCCCTACCGCGCTCTGAGAGCTGTAACTCCTGGCCTACGAGGCTGGTAATAGCCACATTAATTTACACTAAAAAACTGAATTGCAGGACGGATGTCTGAACCGTTTTCTACCTTGTCCAGAAAGACCCAAAACACAGTCGTCATCAGATCGCTTTTTGCGAACTGGTGAATCCCGAATCTTTCTCCGTAACTATATCATTCATAATTGTATACCTTTTGTCAGCTTGATGGGACACACTGGTCATAAGGTTTCTGAAAACTCTTCGACGGACAACGATCGGTCATGAGCGGCCCTTGTGCAGCATGCTTGTTTGCGGGACACCGTAACCGAAAAATTTCGCTGGAATTCACTCGAATCTTCCGTTAATAGCATTTTAATCTGCAAAGGAGTTTAGTTCGCCAGTTACAATTGATGCTCTTTTTTTCACTATTTTGTAAGCGACATTCTATCGCACGTTGTTTAAGTGTGGAAACATTCGTTTATAGGCAGTGTACCTGTCATGTCGTCGTCCACACTACATGTCCTATCCACTCACGATTTCTAGGTTTTGTTTTGTGTGTATGTGTTGTGTTTGTTTCCACCGAGAATCGGAAGCTGCCCGAACACTGTCTTGGTAGACGTTCCAGCATTTCTCACCTTGCCTGCGACACAGTACTTCCTCCAATAGTCTCTTCCAGGACGATCGTAGAGCCATATATGTCGCTCATTCGGATGTGCTACTCTTCTGTTCTTGTCGAAATTACGGTCACTCTCTGGATTCGGCTTAATTAACCTGGTTTTAAGTCCTACTGGAATTATCCAAGTTGAGCGCCACCACTTTCCCTTATTCACACAAATTATGGTTGTGCGGTAGTGAAACAGTCGCACTCAGCTCTTGTCTAGAATTATGGTCAAAATCGTCCCATTTCAAACCAGCGATTCATGGTAGAAAATGAACCTTTTACGTTCAGTTTTCACCAGATAAGTCTAACGCACCCGCTTCATTCTCTCTTCACATACGAGCTACTGAGGCAGTTGTTAACGAGCATTCCGCTGCACACTAAACATTTGACTCTAGAAACGTGTAAGCTATGTGTATTGTCGAGTTTGACGGCCGTTTTTCTTGGGGACTGTGTGATATCGCTTCTCAACTTCGGGTATTCTAGTCAGTTTGCCGACGCAATCTATTTGCGATTATTATTCCTTGACATGAGACTTCGATAGACAATTGAACTGCGATTAGTCCTCCGTCACAGGACAATGGGAGTAGCGTTTTCTTTGTCTCTCCACTACCGGTTTAAATTGTGTCGATCTCACTCGTTTTCTCCATTTCAGTATTACGATCGCTGTTTGGACCGTTGGACTTCTATTTCGGACGACCTTTGCGACAAATATGGTGTTTCGCCCTCCAGGCCCGGATTTACTCCACCTTCAGACAATACGCATTTATCCGAAAAATCTAACAACCTCGAGAATCTCAATAAAGATGCCATTCTGGTGGGCGTTTTCGCCGATTGGCTGTCTGGCTTGAAAGCCAGGTAGGCAACATGCTTCGCTGTACTCGGTATTCTGTTTGTGAATCGTTGAATAGAACTGTAACATGATGAACTTAGTGCGGTTATCGTGCATTGTTGTTTCATGACATTTCATCGCTTACGATTTTTATCGTGCCCACCTCTGCCCCATCAATGGTTGCTTGTATTTGTCGCAAATGGTATACCTCTGTTTCTTAATCAAGTAGAACGAACCAGATACGATGTACTCGAGAATTTCAGTGTCTACGTATTTCGCAATTATTTTTCTGCACTGATCTCTACCTTAAATGCTCTAACTTAACTTTATGCTCAATATCACATGCTCTCTCACAACCCATTCGCACTGCCGCGCATCAAACATATTTACTAAGATCATTTTGTACTCTTTCTAAACGATTGCAATGGGTCGTTAATTGATTGTCAGACAAAGATATGTCTGGAAAATATCCATTTCACAGCCTATCAAGTGACGCTCCCCATTTGCGAGGCAAAATCACCGGCCTACTACACTAGCTTGGCTGTTCATGTACGCTGTGTCGAAGCAACTGTGCTTGAAACGCGGTGAAGTACTAGATAGCTTGATCAACCGGTGATGCTATAAAAGTGGCAGTATTCTGATAACTTCTATCAACCGAGTGTTGTCCCAGTGTGTACGCTTTAAATGAGGTCACAATAAATGCCTCGGTACCGTGGTGTAAGCCAAGATTTTCAGTCCGTTTTACGGCCTTTATCTATCTGTCCCGTGATTTGAAGCTATTCTATGGTTTGTTGTTCTTCGTTCTTATTGCCCGCAAACTGACTAGGTCCGTCACTTTTCTATACACGTCACTGGAACAGGTCAGGATCTTTTCAATGTCCCTAACTGACACCACGGTCAACATAATCCAATCTTTTTTTAAATTACGTACAGAAATTGCCCTCATTAGCACCTCTGACTTTCGTACTCTATAGCATATCGCCAATTCGACAACCGCTTCTGCAAACTTAGTTGCATGACCTGCCCCTTTTAGGTTAGACGGCTGCTTCCATTAACTTCCGTTTTCTCACATCCCGACTCCTCCTCCTATTGTGAACAGCCGACCAATTCAGCTTGCAAATAGGTGTATCCACGGTTTCCTTTTGATGTATTTTGGTTGAAACCATGTGTATTCCCGCGAAGGCGAACGTCCGCAAGGTGTGAGGCGTACATATTACCTCATTAAACAGAGAACCAACAACCTCAGTCGTCTTGATGCCCAAACGAGATTTGGAAATAGTTGTATGGTACTTTAGAAGGTAATAAAGCGTTCATTTGAAAGCAGCCCACTTCCGATTCCCTTTCAACTACTCACTGAGACCACTTTTATTTATATTAATATTGTACGATACACGAGGCCTGCTGTCCACTTTTTCCAATTCCCACCGCACTGAGCGAATGTGTCGAGGAGTTTCCCACTTCACCGACCGGAGTATTCGAATTGCGACTGTCTTCAGGGGAAATATCTGATCGATAGGGTCAGTAAGCATAACGTTAACAGAAAGAATTGGTAGTTACAGAACCTCAATTCTTTTCTATACCTTTGTAATGGATGTGCATGCACTAGTGGACATAGTAGGCTAATTGTAACTGGTATGCAAGCAGTCTTACTCCGCAAAAAAAGAGAAAGGTCATGTAATCCTTCTATGTATTAAACAGCGGATGTCCCTGTCTCGAAACCCACACAACAAGGCGGGTATTTCACTAACAAAGCGGGTCGTAAGAGAGCCGGCACCGACTTAAGCGGCGACGATTTCATGCGGCGATTTATCGCTTCTTTTGTGGAAAGTTAGAAAAACAGAGGTGTTCCCGTCGGCTAGAGGCGGTTCAGTATCGCAGATTGGGCAAAAACTCATGGAGTGGTACGAGAAGGCCATTGGTTCACGGATGGTGTACATCTGTAAAGGCGCTCTGTTTTATAGTAGGACAATAGTTTTGGTTACTTCTGTTTTGTTTTGGGAGTCGCAGTTTTTGCTGTACGACAGTCATCATCATTGTCAGCTGTGAGAACCGCGTACTTGTCGTACAGTGGTTATAGCTGTCACAGTTTCGTTCACCGATGATTTGGGGTAGCCAGCTGCGCATTGGAGAAGGGGGCTGACATAACTGATTCGTAAACACAGGGTTGTCAGTTGGGGATTTGGAAGGGAGCTAGTACAATTGTTGCTACTCTTTTCGGGATGTAGAACTTTCTCTTCGCCTGCACACACTATATTAACCGAGCAGCTTGTAATGAGCTCCATCGAGCAGGGTTGTTGGTGTGCCTGTTTATGATCTTGTGAGAATTAATTTTCGGACGTACATCGGAATAACCAGACGAACTAGAAATCCAGAATTCATATCAGCGCAGCAAGTAGCACGTACGTATTCGAATTGGCGTGTATGTACAGCATATAGAATATGAAAACGAGAGAATAATGAATAGAGCATCAGTCATGTTCAGCACAGATCTACATCTTCATGTTTTATTTTTCTGGTAGTTAGAGATATCGCTTAACTGCTGAAAAATTTGGGATAGCGTTTCCTGGGCTTACAAACAACTGTTTTAGGCCCGTGGCAAGTTCGAAGATATTACGCCAGGACAGTACCTGCGCCAACCAGTACAATGTGTGTACTGAGTTCGATACGACAGCATCCAACGATTCAAACAAGATCGTTCAAGTTTATCAATACCGAATTCCATCTGGGGACAGAGGAAGAGAGACATCTGGCATTAATGTTCTCTCCTAAGTGGAATCGGCCCCACCTCCGAGTCTTACCTGTAGAATAGCAGGTGGTTTCTTTGCCTGTGTGTATCAGTGTCCTCAGAATGAGCTCCATAATGCACAGTCTCTACGCCGAATTTCAATTCTTGAGTCCACGCTTGATTAGTTCTGTCCAAGCAACTTTGTTCTGTCTCAACTTCCGTGCATTTCCAGTAGTTATGTGCATTTATGTATAATAAAAATACCGCTGGAGCGTTCTTTGCCTTCGTGCGACAGACATGCTGCCCTTCGCCACAAGCTTGATTCTCGTGCTCTCTGGCTGGATCACTTGGCTGGACTGAACCACGAAGTAGACCAATCCCTATCCGTGCTCGCAGATCGTGTCAAAAACGCTGTCGAGCGTGCTTGTTCCATGATCCAAACATTGCGCGGTAACTGTTCTGATCAAACGCATACGGGGGACGAAACTAGAGGAATGCCCGCCGACCAGCAGATGCGTTTCGGACGCACCCAAGTTCTGCAAACCTTGGGCGAGTTAAGGGTAAGAAGTATCGTCGTGTCAACGTTGCCTTTTTCTATCTGTCGCTTCTTTTAGTGCTACCAACCCATATCAGTTAGCGTGTTTCGCATCTTTCTCAGACTTGTGTTTAGTATTCACACTCCATCATGCATGTTGGCCGCTCACTAATGATTCGAGTCATAAGGGTCACACTAGCAAGTATTCTAGGCCGGGAGTACTCGGTTAACGTGAGAAACTGCCTCCCATATTTTGGGACACTTACCGGTGGCCGCTGCCTTTGTGATTCATTTCCCCACCACTTCCGAATTGGGGAATGGCCACTCAGGCTCCCAGAAATGTCCACCCCTACTTGCTCCGTCGCCTGCCTGAACCTCGTCGTGAGTAGTAATCACTGAGTGTATCGAACTCAATTTTCAAGATGGCTTATCAACGAATGGCGCCTTAGTTTGAGGGTCTATCGAATACACTTGTATGATTAAGTAATAAATGGATAGTAAACAATCGTACCTGTCCTCATGTGGTCTCTTACGTTTAGACAGCGAGTGGTCCGAAAAAAGGCGAATCGATCCCGAACGCACGTTCTCCTTGTGTTGCAATCATAAATGAGTGTTGAACAGAGAGGGCGTTCTTAACCATTCTTGTGCTGGCCACGTCTACCTCTTAGAACAACCAAAAGTTCAGTTTGAGGAAGGGGCTCTGTGACCGAAACCTGGTGGGGTTGATTTCACGTAAGACCGTTTTTCCAAAGTCAGCGGTCCAAGAGGTTTCTCTATTGGGAGTAATGTCGGTATATTTTATTACGATGGCAGACTTGCTAAGTCGTGCGAATTGACGGCTTCCATATTCATTGACACTGGCATTTGCTCTCCTGTCACCAATTTGTACTTTCTATTCACCACCGATGATGTAATCATCTGATTCTGATGGAAAATGTCCGTGTGTATTGTTCCCAGAAGTGTTCCGTATTTTCCAACAATGAACGTGTAGTTTCATATTCTTACATCTAAGCGTTTCTCTCTGTTATGCTTGTAGGAACTCGGTGATCAGGTCTCAACTGTCGAATTACGTGTCGGAGCATCACACTTGATGGAAGACTCGTTTGATTTAGGCTATCCGGCAAACCATCTCCGACACTCCAGTGGCTCCAACCTTTCCATCGATATAAATAGTTCCGGGCTCAACACCTCTGTCGATTCACCACCCAATGAGGGCACGGTACAGCTGTTGTTTCGACAGACAGCCGTTTTAAGACAGCGCCTCAAGTTAGCAATCAAGCGACTCGAACGAGCCGCTGTTCTGATTAAACTGGATTTCCCGGTTGAAGAATCTCATTCCATTACTCCTACCACTTCATGTTCCACGGTGACGCAAACTGCTCAGTATGAAGAGGATGCTCCCGATCAGCAAGATTCCCAAATGCCCACTGATGATGGACATCATTTATCCATTCCATTAGACAATAACCACAGCTCTACCTCTAGCATTTTTTGCTATCTCGTGCCATTCCTTTTGGTCTTCCTGTGCGTCTTCCTTGTCCTGTTTGGAAAATCCCCAGTCCCACCGTTCAGCTTTTCGTGTTATCCACGCACCGACATGTCTGTTGTGGACTTCAGTCCCAACTGGTTCGTGCGTCACATGTTCTGTGTCTACTTTCCGACAAGTGACCGGCATGTGTGGTAGCATTTCCTTTTTTCCGGTGAACACAACTCACAGAGATTTCCCCCTTGTTTTTTTTGGTTCATTGTTAATCTTTTGGCAGTCAATTGCCGTCACCGGGTTCTCAAATTTCTTAGGATGACGGGATAGTGTGTTTGTCCCCGTGAGTAGAAAGTTAACTCTATTTTACTCATATGCTGTCTGCTTATTGGTGTTCTACGTCTTGAAGGTTCGTTGTTTATGTCTAGAATGACAGCGACGACCAGGGTTTCGAAGGATGCCAAACGGAAGTGGTGTGTACCATGGTAATCTCCTTTAAAACACTGAGTGTGTCTTGAACGACAAGTGGTTTGTCGTAGGCTAAGTCATCTAGTACTCGAAGGAGTTCTGTTGCTTACCATAGTGCTCGCTCGGGGCTTTCCTCGTTCGAACCATAGACTGCAAACCTGAACGACGTTTGTGTTCGTGCGGTCTGATGTATGCTATCACTGGATTGATATGGCTTGGTCTGTCGAGTCTCAGTTGCTTTTCAGCCCGAATCAGGACCAATTTAGAAAGAGTTATTATATCGGATGCTGATTCACCGACAATCCAAGTGAATGGACTACAATCTGATGTACTTCTGAAGATCAGGGGTACGTAGTAATACTGAAGCTAGGAAGTCGATTTCTTAGGGAACTTCTGATCCAGCTGCATATGTTTTTTTCTCTTTAAAACGTCAGTCAGCTCAAACTCACCAACAAGTCCCAATGAAGCACGCCTATAGGCTATCAGATTTTCGTTGGTGTAAGCCTATCGGCTGACACAGCGATTAAGTCGCGTTGCTGGACACAGCAATAAAACAACACAGGATGACTAAGCTTATACCTGTATCTTTCGAACCCAGGTAAGCCATCTGTCCATCAAATGAAGCTTAGTGATGAACTAGCCGAAACTAAGTGGTTTTCTGACTCGGTGTTTCGTGCTACACTAGCTGTTTGTTCTTGAAACGTTTCAAACGCTAACCAGGTCCATATGCTTCCTGCTCAGCCGGTTTCATAATGCAGTTCTGTTTAGCTCAGGATAGCCCGTAGTGCAGCATACGAGGTGAAGTTTGATGGTGTCGCTATAGGCTCTGATCCAGAACCGATGGTTGTGCAATTTTCGTGATGCAGTGAGGAACCGCGTCTACGGAATCATCTCCGTTTGCTTCGACCACAAATTGCAATGAACTTGGCAGATGGGTGTTGCTTGTTTGTAAACTGCATCATCTTCCAGAAGATCCCCGAGAAAGAATTTCGGTCCGGTCTCATTCAGCACACGCGGTCCAACTGAATGAGTTTTCTGGCTCGCAGCTATGTCTGTTGGCTAGGTAGGTCTCCAAACCTGTTTTTCCTCTCAGTAGTCGCATTTCGAGCATAGACTAGGGATGCCACGAGTTCCGGACCGATCAATGGACAGCTTTCTTATCGTTTTCTGTGTGTTCAGTAGGTGGCCGTAGGTTTAACCATCACAAAAACGACAGAATCGTGAATCTGCAGCTCTGAGCATTGCGGATGCGATTTTGTTGGATAATATACCACTCAGTTCTCTTCTCAATGCGTAAGATGTCGTCGCATGATTCGACGTGGTGGACGTAACGTCCCCATAGGTTTCCCCCCAGCCAACAAATAAGTTGAACGAATGCACTCTGACAAAAGCAGTGCAGAAGGCGACGTAGGATGCATTCTCGTTGAGATCTCCAGCCACGTCCAGCCCGGTGCGTCCGGATGGTCACTCCCTTGCTGACACTCCAATGAACATTCGTGTGAGGCTAACGCGCGATGGCACACTACTATCGCCTACACGTTCCCGACAAATATCGCAATATCAGTAAATGGCCGTAGGTTTAACCATCACAAAAATGATAGAATCATGAAGCTGCAGCACTTATTTGCAGTTCTGAGCACAGCGGAAGCGATTTTGTTAGGTAATATACCACACAGTTTACTTCTCAATAGATTAGAGATTTCGTCACATGATCCGACCTGGTGGATGGTTTCCCCCGAATCAACAAGAAATTTGAACGATTTGCAGGTATGTTCGAATGCACTTTGACAAAAGCAGTGGAGGAGGCAACGTCGGGTGCATTCTCACTCAAATCTCCAGGTACGTCTAGCCCGGTGCGACTGGATGGTCAAACCCTTGCTGACCATCCGATGAACATACGGCTAACACGCGATGGCACACTACTGTCGCCTAAACGTCTGCGACAAATATTGCAATAAAGCGACGTTTCAGTCTGACAGGACCGCGTTCTTGCCAGGGATTACAGGCCTAATCGCAGCAAACAGATCGTTGAGGCCATGTTGAAAACATTGCACACGTGACCTACAATAAACTAAAGCGCAGCTGACACAGTCAGTCGAGAACTATACACTTGTCTATTCAGGCCAACGAGAAACCTCCTGGTCTCTTTCCACATATTCACCTGTAAATGTCACCGTTCACCTCTACCTTGACCCCGATACAATTCACACATGAACCAGGGTTACAGCTAGGACCACTTCTTGCTAGGTTCAGAAAGCTGGTCATTTCGTTTAAAGTTCATTCAAGACGTCATTCTTGAAAAGGAGCAGATGTCCGGGAGTCATATTCTGGAAACAAATCAGGAAACTGGAGCGGCGAGCCAAATCTGATCTGGATGAGACTTCAGCAGAGCTGTGTTAACTTCCGTCCCGGAATCTGTCTTGATTGGACGTTCAAGCAGCAAATTAGAAACTATCGACCCCCAGCTGTGTCACGTTACCATTTTTCTGATCAATTAACCAGGTACTCAACCGAGATTCCGTTGCTTGTTTTTGACTCACTGTTACCAGTGTCAAGTTCTTGATCGGGATGCCTTCTATTTTCTACTGGAAGGGACCTATCAGTGGCAGTCAATTGATTAGCTCAGTTCACTGGTGTCCCAATTGGACATGCACCCTAACGTGTCCAGTACACGATGGACGTAATATGTTTGCGTCACCGGTAACTATTGCATTCTTTATAAGGCCCTCCACGGTTTCTTCTTAATTCACTTGGACTTGTTTCTCAGCTTATTGAAGCTGGACTCACACCGGGCAGTTTGCATTTCCTGATTGCACTCCTTCTATACGGAATGTCACCATCTTTACATCTCTGTCGTTTTGCAATCGTCTCAGTTGGTTCCCTTTCGAACAATTGGAGAGCCCCCAGCATACAGACAATCGAGTCACTTGCCACGTGCATCTGATACTCGAATCCAAATCGAGTATAGTTTATCGTACCCACCTTGACGACATATGAGGATCATCTCTACGTCTTATCCTTGATCCCAGTGTTAGCTTACCCACCGAGACTAGCCAGAATTTGTTCACACGACTTTGTGACTCAGAGCTTTGATTCGCGGTACGCGAAGGGGATGACCTTACTTTGGTCAAACCATAGTCACTAGGCTCGGTCGTCTTTCAGGCCAGTTCTGCCCGAATAACGAGGACAACACCGGATTTATCGATGGTCCCCGAAAAAATTTATCCCCTCGCCATTTGCGTCTTCGGATGTCTGGTCCGTCGTTTGTCATACAATCGCGCTGATGGCAAGCATTCCTTAATTCCATCGGCAGAGCTGAGGTGAATCAACAGTTAAGACTGGATGTCTGAATGTGATGAGGCATACTTCCATTGGCTGGTGAAGCACCCCGTGTCAGCTAGAAGCTGACCGAAATTTATATGGCAAAACTTAAAAATTGTCCACTAAAGCACGCGAACTCGAATTTCTTATTTCTCTAAACAAACGGACAAGCTTTAAACATGCTCGAACGACGATAACTCGCTAAACGGACGGTTACTGTGTAGGTTGATTCAGTGAGAATGGTCTCTCACATCCATGACTACGTATGTGCACCGAATAGCTGATTCGCCACGCCACAACGTTTAGATGTGATGCAGTAAGAAGTTTCATCAAGCGCTTTACTGTCGAATCCGACTTCGATCCGTGTCCCCATCAAAACGTTGCACCAGCTGGTTTGCAACAATGCGAATTTCTCAGCGACGTGAACGGCAAAAGTCCGATGTTAAGAGAAGTTAGACAACTGTCCGTATAGAAGATTGCTGGCTGGTCGTGAGAAGAAGGTCACCGTAACATTTGGATGCAATGAACCCATGTCAACACGAAATCGACTCATCCAATTCCGGACAAGGCTAGAGACAACCAGGTCAACGTTTATTCGGCAGTCACGTGGTCAGGGACGAAGCGAAAAAAATACTCGGGAAAAATGCGAAGAACAAGTCATCGATCCCGGTTGCGGAATTCATGAAAAATTCAATAAAATCACGCTAGTACAGTTCGTTGCTCTATACTTCATTTGATGCAGAACAAAGTAAACGGTGAACAGAAAAGCACAATCAGTGAAAGCTGGTAAAATAAGATGGAGTCATTTAAGCATATGCACCACGCAAAAAGTATGCTTTAAGATACGAGCAATCCTGCTGTCTTCCTCATGTCTTCTTTTTTGCTGGGGCAAAACCCAGTTCTTCATAGTCCATGTCGTACACGGTGTAGTACTTGTTCAAAAACGGTCGACCAAGAAATATATGAGGGAAGTTTCCTTCCGGCGTTCAAGCGAACAGACTCTGACAAATCCACGTCCCGTTCCTTTCGATCTGTCCAAATTAGAATGAGAGCAAGGATTGAGGGGTTTTGATAAAAACGCATGTCATGCAAATTAACCTACTGGTGAGTACTGTTCATTTTTACATGAATTCCTGGCATATTCCGTCCGATAAAAATCACCGGAAAGTTACCATTTACGCTTGTAGGAACATTCCGCTGGGGTCGAATCTTGTTACAATCTCAGTTGCAAACGCCCTTATGATTGGGAATTGAAGCAGCAACTGTACTGATCTGGCCACCAATGGATGGGAATATGTAGCCATTGCATTGGGTTGGTAACAACAACAGCGGAATTCAAAAATATGTTTCGGATGCTGAAGAGTGCTAGCATCCCAGCCGACCAGTGAAAGTTGCAATCCCTAATATGTGATCATATATAAGCCTGGGTGCACAACCTGGTCCTTCCTCAAATTGCTGACATACTCCCGGTTCCTTTTGTTGGGTGCTGTTGATCTGCTTGCACACCGTGGCGATTGGTCAGCATACAGCCAATCATATTGGAGACCTCACTTATCATCCGGACTGCCCTAAAAATGAGGCACCTAACTTGGGAGGCCGTCTATATCAATTCTTGCATAAAATCATAGGTTTTCACTCTTGCAGGGTGGTACTATCTTTTTATCTTCATACCTGGACACAGACTTACTGGTATAGCAGTGACCACTTCGTTTAAAAATTACTTTCTAGAGGCTTCTACAGTTCCTTGTGTGATGTTCCTACTCCTTGGTGCACTGTTACTTAACCCTACGCAATACTCGGTAAACGATTCCGGCGTGCGTCAATTGATATCACGTTCATGTCAAGGCGTCTGAGTTGACACCATCTCGGACAACGACCGCATCGAATCAAGTTGAAGTTACATATTGTGTTTCAGTCGAATTTTGTGTCGACCTTGCTAGAGCTTCTACACAGAATTTGCTCGATTCCTCCCTCATGCCCTTCGAACCCCACTGTCCTTACGCGTATTGCTACTGCTCATGCATAAAAACCTGACTGTTTCTGATGGTCTAGTCTAGACAATCCTATCTCTTGAGTTCACACAACACTGTCTTTCTGTACGATAATATACTAAGATATCTCGAATATTGCCGAAGTACGCAACCCGTCACATCGTGACGCCTGTATACCGGAGTCGGTCAGTCTTCAGATCAACAAACAGGGCCATCCTAATCAGCCAAACATCATTTGAAGCTACTTTTCGCTAGTGAAACAAAACTGATAATGAAAGCTAAACTCCTACTATCGGAAATGTTGGTTCCGCCCCTTCTTTACTTTCACACGGTTTCATCGTGCGGAATGTGTTTTCTGTCCATCAACACAAGTGAAAATACTGAATTCTTAAGACCGGAAAAAGTGTACCGATTGGTTCACCCAGGTGCTTTCCAGCACACTCGTGAGATTGTGGTTAAAATATGGTCATACCGATCTAATGCAGTACTTCGGCTCCATAGATAATTTCAACTGGCCAGCTTCCAAGTGAACGATTGGTTTCTTGGGGATTTTCGAACAATCGACCAAGTGGTATTTGCCGTCGAATCCAATCGGTTGAAGTACATGGTTGATCTGTTTGAGTACACTTTCTGGAACCCAGATTTTTGTGGCTCCGCTATCCACAGCCACAAGGTAGGCCAGAGGAATCGCTTTGCCGTCATCAATGCGAACTCTGCAAACAAATATACATCGTTTCAACGGAAAAAAAATCACCAAGTGGGGATGTAGGTTAGTGGCCCAAGACTGATAGAATCAGATAACTAGCTATGAGTGCTGACACGTGTCACGGCACTCGATGATTTCACCCAAATACCCGTTCCTAGAATATTCTATCGCTGGGAATTCTCTATCTCTCACTTAGTAAAACGAGGAGGTCAAATAAATGAAATCGTTGCAAACGCATATTCAACCTGAATAATCGAAGTGACGACCAGAGGAGCTAAAACTATTCCAAACATGTTGCTCAACTCACCCGGTCAGTTTGAAACACCACCATTTTCTCAACGGTTCCAAAGGCACTTTACTCAGATTTCCTGAGTACAGTCCGTCGTACACACCACCAAGAATCACCAAGCCAGCCAACGGTTCCCGTGTGTTTCTTTAAAGTGCATGGAGCGAAAAACAAACAAACAGTAAGTATCGGTAGAACAACAAACAACAACTGTGCGCAGCGAGCTTATGAGCACTGTGTACTTACGGGTTGATCCACATGGAAAATATACGCTCGTTTATAATATCCTGTTCGAATAGCTGGTTTAGAAAGGCCATTTCTCCCGGGACCGCACAAAGACCAACTATCCCATCAAAGCTCCTCTTCCTTGGACAGGACTGTGACCGTTCTACTCCGCTGGCAAACCTGATATTTGTGGTCTTGTTTCCTAACTGCAACAAAACGGCCAGTGAAAAAATTGCAATCAAATGAGGCACAAGTCAGATTGAATTTTCTGTCTTAAATTAGCCAAAACACTCACCGTCACTCTATCCTTCACAACCATTCCAGTAATGTGACAGTTCGCATATTCCATCGTCTGCTCATTCTTCTCGATTACAGCAGACTTGGAACTTTTCCAGTCATATGCTTTAGATGTGAACTGCGTCTTCGAGTTCACTGATCGAACCCAGGTATTACAAGAGCCGGTGTCAAACAACACCTTGAATTGTTGCGTTGGAGTGCCCAAAGACAACAGCCCACAATAGTACCTGCCACAAGATCTCCACAGAGGTATTCTATGATAAACAGTGTTTGTTAGTGAAGAGGTGGAAACAACTCACTCTATGTTTGCCCAAGCAACAGGCCGCATGAACGTGGAAAAACAACACACCAGGACAAGCCACACACTTCAGTTATGAGGCGCCAAACTCTGTGTAGATCAGATTAACCTTTCATAGGACTGAAACGCAGAGCTTATATGCGTGTGTGTGTCGACCAATTGTGTATCTGTTGATCTCACTGAAATTTTCACAAAACGACCTATATCTCCATTGTAAATTTGACGTATGGTTTCACTTCAACCAGATGTAAAACCTACTCACCTATTCTCGTGTCACCTGGATGAAATGAGCCCATGCATCCAATTTAGTATGTAGACAGAGTCAACCTTATGGACACTGGCCTTTCTTGACTGCATGACACATAAGGTCGGGGGAAAACTAAAGATCACAGTGTACGAGAAATCAACCGACATTGGGGCAGTTTTGAACTACTCGTCTGCCCATCAGAAGTTGGTATTCGCCAGTATTGCCTCATCAATGCTTAGGCTTGTAAGGGCCCTGTGCACTAAAGAAGTTGATCGGACAGCGGCCCAAATTGATGCAAAGAACAAACTTTGAGGTAGTGGTTATTCAGCTAGCTTGATTAAGCGTCAGTTGCAAAGGATGTTTGTACCGGTAGCGAAACCCAACACGGAATGGATCAGCACTGCTGTTACTGCGTATAAATCCGGGACATCGCTCTTTCGGAAGATTCTATACACGGCTAACATAAGAGTGACTTTCTACAGGGGAAACACTCTGAACTCTTCACTGGTGCAGTTAAAGGATCGCCTCACGGCAAACAGAACCAAGGACTGTGTCTACGAAATTAAGTCCAACTGCTGCATTAAGGCCTACATAGGAGAGAGGATCAGGGAACTTCACAACAGAATCGGAGAGCATAGGAGAAAAACAAACAGGCCGCCAAGAAACGCGGATAAATACCAAGCGTTACCGAAAGACTTGACATTGGCAGAACATGCACTGGACACGGGACAGAAAATGAATTTAGAAAATGTTGAGGTTTTGAGGGGAGGACTACGGTCCACGTCACAGAGACTGATAGCCGAGGCGGTGGAAATCGCCAAGCATCCCCGTCACAGAACTGATAGCCGGGGCGGTGGAAATCGCCAAGCATCCCAGTTTAACAGAATAGAAGGCGTGCAACTGGCAAGCGTGTGGAAAACGGTCCTGGATCACGTGTTGGTGTGTGATTATCAGGTGGATTCCACTTAACCTTACCCAACTCCGTTTACCCTAAATAAACTGTCGCAACACTCAAAAGCCCACGAAGACCAACGAACTATGAACCATCAGTTGAAGCACCCTGAAGTGGAAGATTAAGGAACCTAAACCGATCGTAACTAATTCGAAACACCTCCAACCCATCAATTCAAAATTTGGGCAATTACATTAACCAACAAGAGCCGTTCATTGACGCTCACCACTGATCTAGTGTGATAATCTGAAAAGGTCCTACTGATTGGTTTTCCGTCTGCTTTAAGGCCTGACCAATTTGGTGACCTCCTCACTTTGCCTGATGAGGCTTTTGCTCAAAAGCAAAACTTCACCCATTTACAAACTACCGATTGTTTACCAAGTCCCTCTGGAACGATGACTTTCCAATCGGTTCCAAACTTTTCCAACTGAATGAAAACAGTCATCTTCGGTATCGACAGTATGACATCAGTGTTCAACACTGATGCTTCACTGCCGTACAACCATAATTTGCTTGAAAAATTCATTGTGAAGAAAAGAATAATGGTGGACGAGGGGAAGGACTTGGTGCTAGCACACTACAATTATTCCAAGGTGCCTTAAACCGATCGTAACTAATTCGAAACACCTCCAACCCATCAATTCAAAATTTGGGCAATTACATTAACCAACAAGAGCCGTTCATTGACGCTCACCACTGATCTAGTGTGATAATCTGAAAAGGTCCTACTGATTGGTTTTCCGTCTGCTTTAAGGCCTGACCAATTTGGTGACCTCCTCACTTTGCCTGATGAGGCTTTTGCTCAAAAGCAAAACTTCACCCATTTACAAACTACCGATTGTTTACCAAGTCCTTCTGGAACGATGACTTTCCAATCGGTTCCAAACTTTTCCAACTGAATGAAAACAGTCATCTTCGGTATCGACAGTATGACATCAGTGTTCAACACTGATGCTTCACTGCCGTACAACCATAATTTGCTTGAAAAATTCATTGTGAAGAAAAGAATAATGGTGGACGAGGGGAAGGACTTGGTGCTAGCACACTACAATTATTCCAAGGTGCCTACACCTCCAGACACTCATTCAGGAAATCTAGATAGGAACTGACAACAAGAACGATATTGACAATGGTTGGCAGACACATCTTGCAGTGTTTCCAACAAGGCGCGGTTGGGATCACGCGGTCCCCATTCTGGAAGTCTATTCACACGGACAGCACTCAAACGTTTCGTAATCTCCATCTTACCTCCCTGCCAGGTCAAGAGTTGGCCACTTCTCTGCTTCCGCCACGCTTCTTTCTCAGCGACTTTACTGGGTATGGTTTTAAGAGTATATGAGGCAATTGTTTCAACTTTTCTAAGCTCCTATGCGATTCTTCCATCATGGTTAAATGGCCGTTTAAGCGCTGTCAATGAGTGTCGTGATGAATTCTAGCTCTGTTTGGTTACCGAAACGATGTGCAAGTATTTGCCTTAACGTTGCCTAAAAATTGGGCTTCCGTTAATGGTAACATACCTCATTGAGTTAACCAGAGTGCATCTGCGACGAATATTAAAAGACTACCGAAAAAGCTATAAACGTACTCCCAATCCCGCCGTCAAATTATTGCCTCTCCTGACGATTCAGACGCACGAAAAGATTGTTCATTAGATGCATCTTAGAAATCTCTTTAGGACTGTTTGAACGGACCTTGTACCTTTTATCCCATTCAGCTGGATTATGGGATACTCCTACTCTTGTATCTCATGTTGAGCCCCTCCTCGAAACTCACTGTTTCTTCTTGGTGTACACATTTCTTGTTCTTCTCTGTCGTTGTTTTCTACGCTTCTGTTGTACTGGAGTCGTGCTCTTCAGGTTTGAGTAGAGCCACTTGATTCCTCTTGGTGCTTACGCCATTCACAATTGCGGGTTTAAAAAACACGGTTTGTTGTGCGATCCCTGCGTACGAAGGGACCCGAAACAGACCAAATCTCTGCTTTATGATTGGGCTTGGTCCTTTTGGAATTAGCTAATAGAAATGACGGTCAGTTCTGTTTGGGGAATTAGAGTATGGTTTTCAAGCTGCTGACTATGCACCGCATTTCAGACATTCAGACTGAAGCCTGTTTAAATCCACTGCTAAGTACTGCGTTGTACGAAAGTTTGACCTCAGAATATCACTGATACCTGCAACTAAGTGATGTTAGCACGTCAGAAACCTAATAGGATTCTGCCGAATGACCACCGTTTTACTGTGAACTGTGCAGTCATAAAAACCCATGGCGTACCCCGGGAATATAGTTTTCGTAGCCAAACCAACCCAGCAGGTCAATACTGACCATGGGTATGCTTGTATAAACCAAAATGCCTACTGCCAAGCGAATACATTTTAATCGCAACATTATAACACCTTAGATCATGCAAAATATTTGAGCCTTCAGTTACTGGGATACATAGATGCGCCGAAATAAGCGACGGAGAATGTGGACCGCGTTTTGCACAGTAATGCAGAGAACATGTGAACAGAGTGCGCAAGGCGGGTCGAATCGGCAGTTTGCTAAGCGGAACGAATAACCGCCTTGGTAATTTTATGCCTACCGCACTATTATGATCCACTCTATAAGTGTTCGCGTCGCCTCCGTTGTGGAGCGCTAGACTGTTTATCAGGCCTGTTGCTGCTTCCTTGCTTTGCAACACCCCTTCCAGAAGAACTGGTGAGGTAAAAATGACCTACTGACAAATCCAAAGTAGTCTAATAAAAATGAATATTACCGGCCAACGTGAGAGTCGTTGACCGGACAGTGGAAGGAGCTACAGCACGAGAGACCGGGATCCTCATAGTTTAGTTGGACTGGCCGAGGGATGACTGTGAGCAAAAACGACCCACAGATGACAATATACCTGAGTAGATTCATTCCGTTCTAGTGTTTCTGCTGTATTGCTCTAGCTCTATTTCTTTTTGTCCGGACTGTGTCTTTGCAAACTTCACAAATGCCGCGACTGTTGCACCAGATTCGATTGAACAAAGTGGGATAGGAATGGGCTATGAAGAAGGTGTCGTGCGGAGCGTTTGTGACCGGACCGCAACGACTTCCACCACCCACCGGATGCGCATAATGACGAACTGCGAGGCGGAGTGGCACAGTGATAAAGAGTGGCACTTACTACAAACCGCTGAAGCACCATAATCCAACCACGTGACGTCCCCAATATATCTCATGCGTAGTTCTTGATAACGTGCAGCTGTGTGGTCATCCGACACGACTTCTTTCGGCATTCACTGCCACCTCAGACTGCGTTCGGCTGTCACTCCCATTTACGTTGACATGGAGTGTGCGTTGCATTGACTGTCACACTGCGCTGGGCTTGCTCTCAGTCTATGTTTCTAAGACGCACTAGCTGTACCAACAGGAGTTTGTACCTCTGGCTGCCCACCTGGATGCAAGCAAATGATTACCTCATATGTTATTTCCACTCCCACCCCAATCCTTAGATGGAGTCATTTCTCCACCAAGCGCTCAATAAGACAATCTGAAAAGAAACTGACAGCATGAATACAGCTGACATCGACCAGCCGTCATTTCTTGCAGTGTCACCAGCCAAGCGCAGGCGGGGTCCCGGGGACCCCATCCCAAAAGGCGTACAACTGACAGCTGAATACAGCTGACATCGACCAGCCGTCATTTCTTGCAGTGTCACCAGCCAAGCGCAGGCGGGGTCCCGGGGACCCCATCCCAAAAGGCGTACAACACTACAACACCCATTTCGCAATCCATTTCACACGTTTTTGCCAACTCATTCGTTGTCCACCTCGCAGATTGCACCATTCCGAAGGAGGAATGGAGAACAGCATTCGCCTCAATACACGGTGTTTCGGCATACGCAGCACATGGCCGAGCCATTGTAGTCAGTTCTCAAGCATGAATTTGCACTTTGAAGGTGCAAGGTGCGCGTAAAAAGATGGTATGATGGTGCTCAGTCTATTCAACAGGGTTTGTGCTTCGCTTCGGTCCTCAAAGATTAGGGTGATGTCGTCTGCCTACTTCAGATCTAGAAGGCTCTCACCAGCAACAATTAGAGCACCGGGATTTTTAGGACCTTCCAGCTTTCGCCCCACTATTTCTTCAATGCGAAAGTTGAACAAGAATCGAGAGAGAGTGAACACCCTTGCCGGCATCACCTGTTGTAGGAAAACTTTTGGGGGGCTCAGCATACACTGCCACACGTTCAGATTTAGGTGAATATAGGGATCAGAATCCCTGCTGGTACTTTAGAAGGAGCGGCAGGCGGTGATCGACCCTCGTCAGCGATAGATGACGATATGGGACTTGCGGCTGGTTTGTTGGTGGGCACCACGTTGTTAGGCTATTTTCACTATTCCGCGAATTCGCACTGCAGAGGAACAGTCTTTGATTGGCACACATCTGCAGTAAGCGATCCTCGTTTTCTGTGCGTCTCATGTCCAATCTAAGACGGTCATCCAATCGGGCCTCAGCAGCTCTTAGGCTACCCACTTGGATGTTCATTTCACCAGCAACCGCAATGATACCTGAAGTTTTAGCCCGCTGCGCCTTATAGAAATCGTCCTTGGCAGATTCAGGATTTCAGTCAGTTGGGGGGTAAGTAGACACAATAAACAGGGTGCGACGGACCTCACTTTCTCGAGACTCACTCACAGATGTCGCCAAACAAACCGCAGATGCGACTATCAACGGGTATCCAGTCAAATAGCGACACTTCCGCTCGGTCACTTAATACTGTACCAACCCCAGCATATCCAACTGCAGCGACCTCCACATCACCAGAGTTGCGCAGCCGGAACCTGGAAGAGAGCGATTGGGCAGTGAGTTCGACCGCAGTACTTGCGTCCTGCATCTCTGTTTCCGACAGACAGCACACATCAATGCAGAAAGAATCCAGCTGCTAGCAAGAGCCATCTGTCGTCCTACTTGCTTCGGTGTGTCAACTTTGAAGGAGGCTAGATAGACAGGCTTTCGGGGCTTGAAGACAGACTTTGCAGTGTTTAGCGTTATTACTGAACCCGGACGTGCAGAAGCTGCAGCTGAGTGTGATGCATAGTGAACAGAGCGCTCAGTTCTGAGCTGGTACCGGTCATCCAAATTGTGGTAGGGTAGGGCAGAAGAGAGAAAACGTGAAGGTGTAAGAAAGGGAGACGTCAGCAGTAGCATGTTTTCGGTTACTCGCCCTGCTGTATGTAGGAAGTAACGTGATTCATGTCAATTTATTTCGATGAAGCATCACGACGGAAGGAAAAAATAAGGCAGATAAAGGACCTAGGGACACATGTTACAAGGACCAGGAGACTCTGTTCGTCAGACCTTTAGCCAACGACCTACCTGATATGAGAAACTTCGCGAGTGTCGCGCTGCATCCCCACCCCAGTATAGCTCCATGAGTCGCCGCCACACCTAATCTCTTCGTGACGGTTCTTCCCATGCAAACGTTCTCATTCTTGTGCAATATTACGAAAATATGGTCCTCTCGATTTCCTGCTCGCAACAGTTTGACAAGAACATGCGTCTAGGAGTTATGTTACAAGACCAGGAGACTCTGTTCGTCAGACCTTTAGCCAACGACCTACCTGATATGAGAAACTTCGCGAGTGTCGCGCTGCATCCCCACCCCAGTATAGCTCCATGAGTCGCCGCCACACGGTATGACCTAATCTCTTCGTGACGGTTCTTCCCATGCAAACGTTCTCATTCTTGTGCAATATTACGAAAATATGGTCCTCTCGATTTCCTGCTCGCAACAGTTTGACAAGAACATGCGTCTAGGAGTTCGTTGTCCTAATCACTTCAGCAGACAGACTGAATTGCTTCTGATGACCATCGTAGGGGCATGAGAACACTACAGGCATTCTCCATATCTAAGAACCCACGCACGGGAATGTAGTCGATGAACAAGTTGCGAATGACAATATTCCAAGCTCCGTCACATCTGTGTGGCTAATGAGCATAAGACCATGAAGATGTTGGTCATCACAGTTTCCGATAGGATATCATTTGGTCTTATGTCAGGGATAGAAAGCCGGATCCCCTGAAATACCACTCTATCTCACTTACTGAGACAAACTTCGGGACCGAAGAGTTCGGTATCCATTTGAAGCTTTATGGCTGTGCCCTTAATGTCACCACTAGATTCTTTGTTCTCGAATGCCATTTGTATCGTAAACTGCTTTGATATCTGAAATTTCCGACTTTTCTCCTGTCCTTATTGTTGTTATCCTTGCTCCACCTTTGTGTTTAGTACGTACACATAAACTTGCCAGTCACTTCACTCGTTCGACCTTGAGGTCATTTAGACACTTTGTGGCCGACCTTATGCACGCGTGCCTGTCTCGCTTGTGAGCCTGTTGTGCTCATTTGGTTTATACCTTTGTAGGCCAAGTGGGCCATTCGTTGTGGACGAGTATCCACCACCGAGGTTTGTATATTTGGTGAATTTGTTTTATATTAATAGTACCACATAGAAACTCAGTTCCCACTTTGTTATGCCTGCTCGGAGGTTCTGGTACTACGCGCCCTTCGAAGATACCGTCTCGCTGTTACACCGTTCATAAGGTTTTTTTCCCTTTCTCCGCTCGAGATAGCCCAGTGGTTAAGGCGCCGACCATTGACCAGGTGCGTGGTTCGAACCTAACCTCTGCATCTCGACCGCTCTTGTCTAGGCTCGGGAAACCTGGGAATACCTCAGACCTCGTGCTTCCTTCGGGTGGACTGACAGCTAGGCACAGAAAGGGTGTTACAGACGAACCACTATTTTCGCCTTCCGCCGTGGTTAACAACATCTTCGATGTTCCTCCGCATGATATGCTGCTGTTCCCTCACTTGTTTCGTACGAACTGCGGAATGAAGTGAAGTAGCCAATACGCAACGACACTCCAGCTACCAGCTGATTCGGGAACTATTCCGCCGTCGATGTACATCCCCCCTAAGGTGACTTGGATGTTCAGTAACGTGACGAAATCTCACGGTTATCAGCAAGTTAGCAGAACTTATTCCACTGTTCCGTCCCCTCCAACCGCGAGGCGTCCAACTTTAAATTAAGTAAACTTGGTAACCTCAGACTAAACACCCAATGCAAGTCACGTGACTTCCCTGTCAATTACAGCTCCTCATTTGCCTGCTGAGTAATCGTGGACCCGTTCGTGTTATTGGTACACTATCCATTCACAAAACATAACCTTCAATCTGCCCGATTACATACCGGCGTAGTGATTTCCATGAAGTTCTGTTTCGCTAGTAATTCGTTGTTTGTCAGCCAAATGGTTTGTCGACTGCAGTTTCGTCTCGCGTATTTTCCCACTTCCTACAACTCTTGAGTTGACTAATAGGAGTGAGATAGGAGCAGAATCCAAATCAACTTGCCAGTCTGTGATACTACCACGCAACGACTGTGTCTGCTGTATGATGCATGAAGGCCGGGCATAGACAAGGAGCATTCGGTATATTCGTAATTCACTACTCATAAGGTTGCTGAAAATTCGACAGCCCGAGACCGGTTTCACCTTTCTTGGGGCTCATTAGTCAGGAACATTCTGATGAGCTGCTTTTACTCGCTGCATCATCATCATCATCATCACCAGAGACAGCAACATCAATGGTGACGCTGATGCTACACCCATTAAATTCATCTAATTATATTTAAAACCTTAAAATGAGGAGAGTGGATGAGGGTGGGGACTTGGTGATGGCCTATCACAAGAATTCCAGGGTGCCTACCTCCAAGAGCCCGAGGAACTGACGGCTGGATGTAGTCTGTCGCACAAACGAATGCCCGTTTTCTAATTACCTCGTTACAAATCCGTTGACGCCGGCGACGCTTCTGAGGCATCGATTGTTAAAAAAAAACGGATGGAACCTTCGACTAGGACTTCTCGGAACCATACAACAGCATAGCCCTTAATGTAGCCTGCCACACGCGAACGTTGAGACCCAGGGATGTAACTTTTTGACGCAACAATTGACGCAGATTAGCAAACGTAATTTTGGCCTTTGAGAAGCTTTCGCTGACTTCATCAGACACATTTCCGGCAGAGCTAATACAACTAGTGTGGTATGTGAAATTCTACACAACCATAAACTATAAGAATTATGTTCAGAGACTGCACCTTCTGAAAAGTAACTTTGCAATTTGAGGGTGGGAAGCGCATGCTGTGTGAATTTATCAGTCTAGAGAGCCATCAATGATATCTGAAAGCAAAGATGCTAGTTAAATATGAAAATATTTGTCTGATATCTTGATTGCCAATCAAGTGTGGAGAATGCAGTCACAAAGAACGTCCATTCAGTTCCTCAAGTAGGTGAAGAGGGAACCAGGTCATCAACAAAGTCCATACTATCACCTACAACAAATGGAAATCGAGAGAAACAGGAAGATTAGGAAATCGGATACGCGGGGAAGGGGTACTGGCGAGACGAAAAAAGCCGCAAATTCTAAGGTTTCTTAATCAGCGAATAAAATCATAAGGGGGAAAGATGTACGGCAGTCTAAAGAAAGCAGCCGTCTTGTTGAAGCTTGTCTTGCGAAAAGCCACACGCGGGTTTAAATCCAAGGTACCCATTACGACAGGTTCCGTGGATGCTGGTTGCGCCCAAATCCCGTAACCACGTATACAACGGAGGAAGGACAGGCACGACCGAACTCAAGCTGTCACTCGGGGATGGCATGGTAATGGTAACACTCCCAGGTAATCAAAATGATTGTGTATAAGATTTGTTGCGGGAACTACAAGCTACTAATACATGACAGTAGTGTCGAACACAAAATACGCTCGTTTTTCGCCTAAACACCCCAATACGAAAAAGTAGAGAGCAATTCAGGACGTTGCTCTGCACGCCCCAGCAGACAATCGCACAGTCTTGCTTGAACAGGTTCAAACAATGCAAACAAGACTTTTGATACATGTTGTGCGGGGTCTTCGACGATTTACACCTAAATTATGTGTGTCAACCAAAAAGACGATCTGTCTGTGTTAGCTATCAACTGATAGGTCAACCCGATGCATGGCACATTAGGGTCATCCTCAAACCATAGATGTGGGCATATCCCCTTGATCGGCCAAATGACGCCTTTGTAGCGACAATTGTTAGCTGGGCTTCTTTTCACGTTTTGTGATCCTGATTATTCCACTCCTGAATATGACCTGCAGTGACCGAGACGTCGAACAATAAAGCTTTAGCGGTTCCAGCATTCAACAATGTTGTCAACTGAAGTGGCACGAATGACCGGATAGGTAAATCTGTCCGCTATTTCTGGTTGTTCTGATGTCATGAACGGCTTTGGCGGTACACTCACCCAATCTTGTAAGAGCACTTCGCGCCTTGAAATAGCATGCCCAGTCAGAGGACATCGGGAATGTGAGTGTGAAAAGCAAGTACCTTCTGGGAAAGACCAAACCCCTTGCTGTTAAGACCATGGCAGTCACGGAAAACCGGGGAAGGCAGCATCGTTGCTCCCATACACATAGGTATACTAAACGCCTCAATGCCCTCACACTCTTATCGCGCGGAACTTTAATCACAGACTGCTTCGTATTGCGACTATTCATAGTACGGGGGCTTTGTCTGGTGATTCCCCTTTAGTCTTCCTGGAATGACTGAATGGTAAAGAACTTACAGACACTTTAGCAAGCTGGGTCATTACAACATTCAAGTTCGACCACCATGCCAAGGTGGCAGCCTTCTTTCATGAAGTTGAAGAAGGAGCTGGAAGGAGTTAAATAACCGTTACCTCGAAAACCGCTGCTGGTCACCGAACACGGAGCTTCATTTAAAGAAAAAGAAATATTGAGGTGCTGCTTGCCAGATGCGAGATTGTGGCGACAAACACAATGTGCACGCACAGCAATAAAACTTACCGAACAAGTTGAAATTTGTCAATTCGGTGTCTCGATCAACATGTAATTTTTTGAAGTTGGCACCTACGGTGGCTGGAATCGGAAGGTATGTCAAATAAGAGATGTCAGCAAATAATAAATGAAGTGAACACGTCACCATAGAAACAGGCAGCCAATGACCATGTAGTGAGGGTGAAGAGTTCAATCTTAGTGCCAATATGGAATGGCAAAAATTGAGTCACCTTCTGTAGCTTGATTCAATAAAAGCGCGTAGAAAATGGTGGCCCACCTGTAACATCGTCCTTTCGGCCCAACTGAACCGGGGTCCTCGGCTTAAGCCCATGACTTGCATCAAGACTGAGCGGAGGTAGATGGGGTAGCTCAAATGACGATAAATCTGTATCAGATATTGAAGATTCCGCTGGAATCCATCTGTTAACTGGCAGAAGGCGTTGGGTATCCTTGAGCGGATGACCTGCTGGGTGGAAAATATGGTGCTTAATCAAATTACATGTTGTGAAGCAGTTCAGAAAACAGATTTTCTGACATTGTGGATTTCGAGCACAGTCTATCAGTCACAACTCCATCATCATCAATAGCATAACATCAATGTTAAACATCGGTGCTTCGCTGCCGTGAGGGAATTAAACAATTTACGTATTTGAACCATTTTTGTTCACACAGGAGCGCATGTGTCACTATCCTAACCTGGACGTACTATATCCTGATACGCAACTTAAGCGATAACGGCGACGACAGTGGCGTTGCGAAAGGTGTATTCGAGAGCACATACGTCATGGCGGGTCAGTTGTGAGAGAAAAATAACGTCACGTCCTTTTGCAGACTTTTTGGTGACGAAATTCACAGATATTCTTAATTTGATCGGCCGCCGCCTGTAGAACGGAAGTGGCGTTTTCCGCTACTGACCCTCAATATTTACCCAAACGAACGTGAAGTAAAGCTGCCCCATACGTTCATCATTGACTGGGTGCACTGATATGAATGCACCAACGGATCCGTACACAGCGCGGAGGTAGCAATTAGTTCGCAGGGTGAAATCCCGGGTGAACTGCTTACTGAGAGCAGCCAATAATGCCCGCACCAGTAACAACAAGAACAGTTCATACAGAACACTTCCGGATCCCTGAAGCCTCACTTCTGCGATGAATGCAGAGTTTTGCCGTGGCAATCATGTCCACGAGTTTGGGTAGTCCTCAACAAAGCAAGGTATATTAGAAATTGAAAAAACTCCGATCNAGAGCTGGATAATCACATGCACAGTGGGGGGGGGAACACAGTCGGACATGGTCATCTTGTCATTTCGAGATCGAGCTCGTGATGACCCAGTGATTAGGGTGCACACTTACTGACTAGAATGTCCACGCTTCAAAGCCGATCCCAACAACTCGAGTGCTCCTGTCTGCGATTGGGCAAGCTGCTAGCTCTACTGGCTTCTTTCGTGAGGCAGTAAAGCTTAGCACCGAAAGGATGCTGTAGCCGAACAATTATTACTATTAACCATTCACTTTCAGATTGACAGGTACACCTATGCATAACTCACCAGGTGCGGTTCATTGCGGGCCACAAGAAAACTAACAAAGCGGTCATTCATCTCACAGCAAAAAAAAACGGATTAAAGCAATTGCTATCTTATCTAGAGGATTCCGATGTGGTCTGATGCGAATACAGAAGAAATTTAAGAGGTACTAATTGCTACAAGTCTCATCCTGGAAACCTACTTTCTTCACCTTCATCACCATCAACTGCAGCAGCGATAAACCGAGTACATGGTGCACAATGAGTATAACTGCCTTATCTAGAGGATTCCGATGTGGTCTGATGCGAATACAGAAGAAATTTAAGAGGTACTAATTGCTACAAGTCTCATCCTGGAAACCTACTTTCTTCACCTTCATCACCATCAACTGCAGCAGCGATAAACCGAGTACATGGTGCACAATGAGTATAACTGCTATAGTTCCATTCACTGATGGTCTGGCAAAATAAGATAGGGGAGCTACACATCGAAGCAAGTCGCTGATTTCGCTGGTGCGTGGATCCGCCAGTAGTGGTGAGCAGATCGAAAGAAGCCATGCACTAGGGGCAAACGCATGGATGTCAGTGAACACTCAACTGAGCTGAATCTTCCACTTACTCCAACCACTGGGGTGTTACAACAACGATCAGCGCAGCTGAGTTTGCTGGTAATGGCTCTCATAGTTCGCTAAATCATTTCCACCTTCCATGTCTGTATGAAAAGGGTTTTCGGGGAATCAGGCGACTGAAGTGCGTGAACAACCCAGTGCAACCTGTGGAGTGTGACCAGCTAACAGAGTGGGCGAGCCAATTCGCTCCAAAACCATTAGACGTGCTTCAGAATTACAGATCTGATATCCCAACCGCACTCAGGTAGTGCTCGGAAGAGACCAATAGCGAAGCACTGAGTTTTTAACATCCTCAGCACAAAGGAGCCAGTTTTCTGGCACATTTAACAACGTGGAGCAATACATCCCTGAAAACTCGACCTTCATATACAGACTGCTGCCACAAAGAACTTGAGAACCGGAGGCTTTCCGAGAGGCTGGTTGTCAAGTCAAGGTGGGAAGAACATGGCGAAAGCTTCCTGCTACTTTGTAAAAATGACCATCCACAGAACACTGTCAAAAATTATTTTTAGGACGACTGAGCTTCTGGAAGAGTAATACAAAGCGACTCATAATACCTAAACTCAAAGAAAATATGTAACGGAACCCAAAGGCGTATATATATATATAAACACATCCCGTTTGGTAAACGCGCTGATGTAGTTGATTCATGCGCACCACGGATTCGCACAGTACCTGGATCTAGAGAATTCTGGTTCAGTGTTTTCAGTATTTGACGTGAATTACTCAGGTCGGAGCTGAATTTTATCGGAGGGCGTTGCTCAGTGTAACTGACTGGGGACCTGGCTGTACGGGTTTCCACAGGGATCCATTTGCTCGTTGGAGTTACCTGTTCTCCGGCGGCGACAGACCGTTCTGCGACAGAAGGTAAAAGTAGACCAGAAGCTGATTTGGACACCTAAAACCTGACTCTAAATCAAATTGGAGATAACGCTCTGCCATTCGAAGAGTGATTATCAATCGAGTACACTTCAAGTGGAATTTTTGTTTTAGGTTTGAAAAACCTGACGAAGGTATGGTGAACCAACCATCACTGTTTGCGTATGAGAATGACCGGGAAGCCAAATCAAGTGAAATGAGGTGGGGAAGTCGATCGACCACTACCAGTCGGCATGGTTCCACTGACGCGACAAAACAAATGTACACACTGGGATTTTCGAGGCCTAAACATGTTCAATAATGAGTGCGTCTGCATATTTCCGAAAAGTCCTATGATGATATTGGATAACGCAAACACAGATTGTCCCGGTTCACATAAAGTGATTCACAGTGAAGCTCTGCAATGTCACCCCTCATTCAAACAAGTGTTTAAAAACAACTAATCACAAAATCACCAAATACGGAGTACCAATTACCAAATCCAGACAGTCATCCAATCCACTTTCAAACACTCAGTTACCTGACCACAAGGACAAACGGAGAATAAATACCAACCCTTCAGACTCGTGTAGCCGCGTATCGAAAAGAGAACAGCAGACAAGAAAAAAACGCGTGATTGTAGTCAGTCATTGTAGTCAATCTGTAGTTTGCTGGTACGCATCGGTTTATCCGGGGCCAAATGGCAGACGATACGATGTTATTCCGGCTGATGGAAGAAAGAGAGAAAGCGTTCAGCTGTAGCATCCTCCCGGTGTCTAGCTGCCATGCCACCCGAAGGAAGAACGAGAGCTGGGATACTGTCAGGTTGTCCAAGTCTGGGAGGTCGAGAGGCGGAGGTCGGATTCGAACCACGGACCTTCCGGTCAGTAAATTCGCGCTCTAACCACTTGGGCCATCTCGCTCAATTTCCTCGGCTCAACCAAGGTAGCCTGAGCTTATGCACAAAGTGGTTGCAGAAAAACTACACCAACTGAGGTGGTCTAAGTCACAGCAAAAGGCCTTTTGAATGCTAGAATGGCACAGTATAAATGATCTGGAAGGTGAAGTTGTGTCATCATCATAATCATCATTAAAGACAGCAACATCAGTGTTGACACTGATGTTTCACTGCCGTAGGTGAGGTTGTGGCACACGGCAAAATCTGTATCGACTATATGTTCAACCAGTGGGTTTCTTATCCTCTGCTGGCCTTTAATCAGAGGAATAAGGTAGAGTGTTCACAGGGTCTCTCAATGTTCGGTCAACGCACCCAGCCGGACCCGGACACTGGAACGAATACACACATACACACACAGATAGATACTTGTGGCCAGCTAGGGGATCAAGTCCTTAAGTCGTTGAACAATTATGGACTGACTGGTAAGATGAACCAGTAGTTTTGACACATAAAAAGTTTAATTAATGGTCCGTAAAAGTTGTTAAAAGCATCACTCTTGAAACGTGGTTGGATAGATAGTGGTTTCTTTTTTATCATTGACATTCTTTTCGGCAGACGCACGCCCCTGTCGATAAACTCATCGATACAACCAATCTGTTTCCGAATCGATTCCGAAACTTGTGGCTCCGATTTACGTTTTTCGACGCGCCTAACTTATGGGCTGTCTGAGCTGGGCAGTTGACTAGATATTTGGCGCCCCAAGTTAACGTATGCGTCAGGTTGCGCGATACACACATCGCGAAAGGTATCCGTCAGCTCGATGAGTTCAAAAACCTATCAAAGAACAATATAAAAGTCTGATTCTTCTACGTTGTACGTGAATTTCATCGCAGAGTGCGCTGAAATGAAGAAACCCACCATGCATTGATGGGGCGTCCATACAGTCTGGTCCGTACAACAGAGGTATTACTCACATGTCCGCAGTATAAGTTACGTCGCTCAATGACATTTTGTATTCTTTTGAGTTCTAATTTGGCCATATGTATGTCAGTGAGTAATGAACCAGGAGGAAAGTATATTGCCGCACTGTCTGTTCATCTATACCGTTTACTGTCAAAAAGCCGCTTGGCGTTCATAGTGCGCCTAAGTAGCAACCAGTTTAGCTCACCAACTGGGATTCCGATTCACCTCTTGTTCCGACGTAAAAAGTCACAAAGGCGATTCATGGCTTTTAGAGAGAGAAGTTGGTGAACAAGAAGGAAACACCAGCGGGGACGTTCCTCGGTCGATTGCATTGTTATCCCTGATTTTGTCCACAAAGTATCATATAGACTATGAATCGATTATGCCGCTCGGACTGGTTCCAACACTTTCGATAGCCACTGCGCACATTGCTGGTATCTACCCAAACGGTAGTTCTGATATGCGACCCTCCGGTGAGCCGCACAGTTAGGGGACGCTCTTTACTAGGGTGTATTAGCTTATCACACCGCACTTTGGTAAAGTAGCCTTGTTCCGTTAAAGATGTGGAATCTTTCGTGGACTGCTCTTCAGCTTTGTCCGTCACGTTTTCGTCAGTAGGCACCTCCTGAAATTCAGCGACATCAGGTTGCAACTCTTTCAATCAACTGCATCCATGATAACGACACCCGGGTCATTATCCAGTTTGGACATGACACTTGACACGTATCTACTCAGTAATTTCAACGCTCCTTGATGCCACTTTGTTAAGGATCTATCAATGACCTGTCGTCGCGTATAACTGGTAACAAATAGTAATCAATGTAGCTGCGAACTGCTCTAAATCAGTTGAGATAATAAGCTAATCGTTCAGCTGTTACACCCTTTCGGTGCCTGAGCCACTGAGCCATCCCGCACTCATTTGAGGAAAATCCAGCGATTGTTGCATGAATACGTTTGCAATATTCTCATTCGGTTCAATTACAAATACATTCAAGCTAGTTTGCGCTTTTATGCATTACGGGCGCATAAACAATCTGTGTATCGCTGTCTATGCAGCGAATAGGGTTCTAAGCCAGAGTTTTGTTGATGGCAATAACAGTGGGCCAAAATGTAACCTACCAAATGGATCAGTGTTTTCGATTTCATCACTTGTGTTGCTCTGCATTTGTACTGAGTCCGCCTCAAAGCCTACAATGAAAAATAGTAGGCAAAATGAGTGAGGCAATGAACTTTAGACCTTAGACGGTGACGGTAGTGGAGACAGAACAAAAAGCAAACCTCAAGCGCGCATGTTACCGAAATCCTCGCTGACATTGCTGGCGACCTCCTAAATGGGAAAATAAACATCCTGTGACTGACCCCAGTGACCCTTAAGGGTCCTTAAGGAGCTGACGATGACATCTCATTCATGGCTACGGCAGAAAGATATGGGTTGTGCGCAATCCATGTGAACGATGGAGCTATCTTGCAGTTTCCATCATCTTGTGTCAGATCAGGGCAACCGTGTACATGGGGCCCTGATTAGTAGGGACATCAGAAGTTGTTGACGGAATCCTGTTAATAAAGCGACCAATCTACTGGGTTGCTATGTTTGAGTATATTGCAACTGTACTGCATTTTTCCCACGATGGGGAGCCAGTGTGCGCTCTCTACTGAACTAAAAAGTAAACAACAAATCCGAAAAAATCAAACATCTCGACCCCGAAGGTCTGAAATCCGTGGACCGGAGGGGCTGGTAAAGAGCAGATCACAAACCTGAGATTTTGAGGGCTTGTTTTTCGGGAATATCCAGTTTCCCAAGGTCCTGCTTCCATGACTGCAAGACTCTGACGTCCAAGTGACGCGGCGTAGAGATTTTTCGGGTTGTAGCTGCTGGAGTACCAGAAAGCTGAGAGAGCTCAAGCGATCGCAACGGAGAACTGTTGATGACGTCGGCATTTCGGCTAACATCAGTTGACGATTGATCTAAATACGGGAAGATTATTAAGACAAGGCTGTACAAAGCAAGTCAGTGACTGACAGAAAAAGGAAGCTAACAGATCTAAAAGGATACTGGTATTATATTGTTCCCTCGCACTCAAACAATCTTTGGCTATATTACACTATGTAAGTAGTGCAGTGAAGATGCATTAGGACAAAGGATGCAGAAAACGGTTTATGCGGTTTTAGGATGGGTCTATCTGTCACCCATCTGTGGGCAGTTACACAGTTTTAGGTAAGTCGTAAGCCGCAGGAAGTCGTTGCACCAGTGATACTGCAAAACATACCTGAGGGGAAAGAACAGTTGGTTGTAGCCATGTGTTGACGCTCCAAAACTGGCTGTGTCGACTGGCGACGGTAAGAGGTTAACGGAGTGAGTTGTGATCTGAAAACCGAACAATGAGGAATATTGAGAGCATAGGAAGAGTGAAAAAATTTTGTTTGTAAAATGCGTACGGAGGACATTTTAACAAAATCACACTTGTACACATTATGTTTTCCTGAAATATGCTACATCGACATTTCGCAATTTAAGTAAAACGGATCAACCACTACTTATATTCCTGGGATTCCTCATTAGTAAAACAAAAAATTGCACAAGAAACATCCTGATAAAATGCATCAAGGTTATTTCGTAGTGTAATGAACTATTCTTTCGTCAAGACGTAGCAATGTGGTCGATAAACTTCTGAAGAGGATTCGAAATGAAGGCCTGGGGTGTCTCAACAGAAAACTGCAGACCATAAAGGGTAAAGAGGCCCCAGGTGGTGTACAACTTTTGACATGAAACCTCCTGACATCTCAACTTGACATCGAGCCATCCTGTTCGGCTATCTCATGAAATTCATCAGGACATCTTATAAAAATGCAAGATATTTTAACATGAAAAAGACGCAGAATGATAAGCTAAACAGTTTGATTACTGCCCGATTCTTACAGCTCACTGACTTTCAAAAGTTACATAAAAACAGCTGAATCCTCTCCAAAGTCGCTAACACCTTCGAGGTTATGGGTGTTTATTGGAATATTTCAAGACGGATTTGGAGCACGCAGTTGAATGAACGGATCCTTTTCAATAGAAATAATAAAAAATGGTCCAGTTGTAACACCCTTAGGATGCCCAGCTGCCATGCCACCCGAGGGATCTACGACGTTTGAGATACTACCAGGATGCTCAAGCCTAGATAGAAGCAGTCGAGATACGGAGGTCTGATTCGAACCACAGACTTTCCGGTCAATGAGTTTGCTCCTTAAACACCGAGTCATCTCGAGCTGCCTTTTCAATGTCCCGCACATGGATTAAAACAAACCATAAATAGTGATTGAAGACAACAGGCCAAGATAGTGTAGCACAGGGACCAACCGATCAGTGGGGGGTATTTGGGTAAGGAGTTGGGTACGGATCACTAAAAATGTTCAATTGCACCAACGTTGGCTTCCTATAAACAGTAGGTTTTACTTTCCCTTCCACGCGACGGGTTAGCAGTGTGTATAAAAAGTCCAGTTTGTTATCTCATTCAGATCCGCACGTAATTATACTACCAGGTGCTCAAGCCTAGATAGAAGCAGTCTAGATACGGAGGTCTGATTCGAACCACAGACTTTCCGGTCAATGAGTTTGCTCCTTAAACACCGAGTCATCTCGAGCTGCCTTTTCAATGTCCCGCACATGGATTAAAACAAACCATAAATAGTGATTGAAGACAACAGGCCAAGATAGTGTAGCACAGGGACCAACCGATCAGTGGGGGGTATTTGGGTAAGGAGTTGGGTACGGATCACTAAAAATGTTCAATTGCACCAACGTTGGCTTCCTATAAACAGTAGGTTTTACTTTCCCTTCCACGCGACGGGTTAGCAGTGTGTATAAAAAGTCCAGTTTGTTATCTCATTCAGATCCGCACGTAATTAGTTTAAAGGGACGGGCTTTGCCGAATACCTCCAAAAACATGGGATCAATCACTTAATATGCCCACGTTCTTGTTAGCGCAAGTGGAAATCTAGTGAGGCGTTTTTCCAACAGAACAGAAATGGGCACAGAAACGAATCTACAGCAACAAGAAACTGAACTACTCCCATGAGACAATGGAAATACTGTTGAACTCTAAGAAGTACAAATAGGACGAGAAGCCCCAGAAGCCTTCCTACATGTATCTGCTAGTCCTTCACGATACCGCTCACGGAGACGTGCAAACATTTACTTTACGCGTCCATTCTACGATAACCCACACCAGCTGCCCAATGATCGCACAGGGGCTGGGAAATCTACCGCCACGTGTAAAAACTTCAATGAGCTTCTGTCAGACCAAACAACAGGAGTTTTGTCTAAATAAATATCTGAAATGTTCCACCCCGGCGGACGGTCTCATTTGGTGCACACCTAGTAAATACAGCACATCACGTCGGCACTACCACTACCTTTAAAATGGGTCCGAAACTATAGATCGGGATTTCGACCTCTAAATGAAGACGACATAAGTCATAAAGACGAGAGGCGTTAGACAACTGTTTCATCCTTATTGGGAATCATCAGCAATGTTCATTTCACGAATCTCTGAAGAGATTCGAAACTGCGGCCTCCCAGCGGTGGTTAAAAACTCAACCGTTTGGTTACATGCGGCTAAGCAGCAATGTGATTAACTAGCACTCAGACAGGATATCGAGACAGTCATCCTTCAATTATGGAATTCACACTAAGTGCTCACGTGTTGATCGGTTTCTCGAGTGGCAACCTTGCAAACAAAAGGTTCATGTACATTATGGTTCACTCTGAGCGCATTGTAGCTTGTTGATAGAAACGTCAATAGAGATATGGAAAGAAAAAGGAAAGCGTTCAGCTGTAGCACCCTTCCGGTGCCTAGCTGCCACGCCACCCGAAGGAAGCACGAGGGCTGGGATACTGCCAGGTTGCCGAAGCCTAGACAGGGGAAGTCGAGTGGCGGAGGTCGGATTCGAACCACGGACCTTCCGGTCAGTAGATTCGCGCTCTAACCACTTGGGCCACCCCCGTATCTATAGGCTGAGCAATGCGTTCAAAAACATTTGGTCCAAATCCTGAGTTTGCCCCGACCAAGCCAAAGCAGAATGTAAATCTGGTGCCAACAGACAGAACAAGCGAACATTCTCAGTGATCTGTTTAACACTGATCCACTCTTCCCCTAGTCACCTGACCTATGCGTTACGTTTTTTAGCCCGATTGTTCTTACTGTTTAGACGTCGATGGATTCATATCAACCGACATGTGTCCACGTCTGCCGAAGAACTATTGAAAAGGATTTCTTCATTCAAATTGTGAACAAATCCTCGAAATTGTTCGAAGTAGCAGTGTTCGGAGTATAAAAGCACGCATCAAACATGTAAGTCGATCGAACTGCTGTCTTTTTGTGAGGTTAAACGTACGAGTGTTGAAAAGTCAAAACTGAGATTTGCACACACGCAGTTAACGAAGTCGACCGGTTAAAACGAAATCAAACTGAGCTACTGATTCCGAAGACACTCCCAAATAAGGTTCTATCAGCCGGTTAAACAGCGCCGACATCGAATCTGACGATTGGGAAATTAGGTATGAAAATGATTGTACCATAACAGGGAAGCAATACTTTCCCAGCAAAAGAATATATGTTGAGGGATAGACTCTCCACTCCAGCTATCAAAAAAGGAATGCCCAGAGTCGGGTAACAAAGCGATACCCTATTATTACACCACCGACTAAGCATCGCGCAAACAGACCCCCCTCTCTTGGGTTTGAGGCCATGACTTTCCACTTAGCAGCTGACCACAATTTGAGTCCTGGTCACTGACCTGCCCATCCATAATCTTACGAGAACGACAAAGACTTTGCAACTCACTCGGTGCGTTGATTGGATACGATGAAAGAACGCATGGAGAGCATAAACTCTTCCAGACCGTTTTCCGCTGTGGATATCTGTGACTGACCAGACGGTTGGTGTGGGGACTTCGTGGCCGTGGAAGATGCCGACGGTGAGTCAGCTGGGTTGCATAAATAAGCGGCTCGTTTAAATACACGTGAGCACCAATCAACAATCGCATCATCTTGTGTTGTCCCACTAGTTGTTGGATCGACAGTCAGTTCTTGGGAGGGAGCGTCAAGTATCCGACAGCCTACGGAAAATAGAGCGTCCGCAGAACGAAGGAACCTGACAGAGAAGTACAAATAAATGCGACAGAAAGTGCAATCTCCAGCGACAAACCTATTTGCGCAGGAACAAAAGTTGTGCGCATTCCACATTTATGCAGAGGACTATGTAGTAAAATGGAAAAAAAATCGGCTACATCGAGAATATATGCCCACAACAGTTAGCGACGAGCTCAAACTCATTCGATCATACGGCACAGTACCTGTAAAGATTAAGTTTTCCTTCTTCTCGAAGAGGCTTGACCTGGAAAAAAAGTGAAAACAGAGAAATCAAGATAGGAAAGTCACTTACAGATTCGTGAGGTTGTAACAATATGTTCCTCGCGGTAGGTTTTTCGGGATTGGGGTGCCACATCACCAGTATGAAGGGTGTCTGACGCCATCTGGCCTTATCACAGGAACTACTCCGTGAAAAGTGAAAAGTACTTCGGGAATCGGTTCCTGCACCGCCTGTGAGAGCCATTTCGGATCCAGGGCCGCAAGCTCGTGTCTGAGAGTCAGATTTGGTTAAATAAATGTTTTTACTGCACCCATACGCCTACAACGAGTGGAATGGTCTTCGCGGGCCAACCACTGATGAAACAATTAGCACCCACTACTGCAGAGGTTATCCCCGTTCACCTCTGTAAGTATACATCAGCTAAACCAACGTCCAGAAAAGCAGAAAAGAGCGATGAATTATTTAGCCATTTTCTTCCAACGCGCACACAACCTGCTCGCACAGGCCTTAGAAAACACTGCAAGTTCTCTTTGGTAAGGTGCCCGGAGGTCGCTGAAACTGCTGCTTCTGTGGAAACCTACCAGAATGCCATGGTCCACTGGAACTGATCTTTAAGTTTTAACAAAACACGCACTTTCAGTAGTGGACTTCCGTGTGAGAGAAAATCGATCCTTATGACAACCGGCTTCCAAATGCTGTCAATTCCGAACAGAACTGATGCTTCACCGCTTCACATGGAATCCTGTTTACTTCGATTGGTTCGGAAGGTCACTTTCCATGACTGACGGACATGAGGGTGAAACGTATCTTACATGTTTTATAGTTTATGTCTGCGACCGACATTAGGTCGACACATCATCCATTTGAGTTCTAGCATTCGCGCAGTTAGCTCTGATGTCCCAAGTAATCTGTTGAGGAAGAGCCACACTACCTGTTAATGACATTTTCCGCAATTAGTCTGTTTCCTTGCCAATGATGTTAGCCATATTACTAGCAAGTAGTCTGATGAGTTCATCAATGAATCGCTTGCGCTTAAGTTGATTCGGCTATCCTACAAGCAACAACAGATAATCGTAGCAGCGCAGGTCTTATTGCCTGCAAATGCCTAGCTTGTTTTTCGCGAGTGCTGTTGTCACTCATATTTTTGAAACTGGATCCAATCCCGTTGTCAAATGTGTGTTCTAGACTGCTCATTCGTTTCAATAACCGGGACAAAAATTTCGTTCGACAATACTCAACTCAGCAGTTGTTATATTTCATCCTATAGTTACTTTAGCTTGCGCTCGAAGTAGAAAAATTCGAGAACAGTCACATCCCCCTCAGCCGTTTTATTTTTTCCCCAAGACCTCGCGTTTTATCACCTTCCTTTTCACCCCTGGCAACACTCAGTGTGCCAGGTTAGTAAATTATCCCGACAGTTTCGCACGATGCATTCTGATTTCCCGACTTCTACACCTTGAAGTCCGCTTCTGGAATAACAATACCAGTCTGTGTTCCAACCGTTAAAATGTGCAGTGTCCGTGTGCCTGTGTGTGTGACGAAGTGATCGGGGGTACCCCAGTGAAGAGCTGGGCAGCAATAATGGATGTACATTATCAATTGTGGCGGCCTTAGGATAACATTAAAATGTAGGCTGTTTGATATTAGACATCAGGTCGTTTCCGTGACGTTACGTTCCTAGTAGGATGGACGACAATGAAATAAGAGTAGGATTAGGCTGAAGCACCAAAAGAGATAAGCATTGTGCGAAATTCGAGATAATTGCATACGGTGAAAAAATTCATACTCGTTTGCGTTTCCAGATTTACTCACAAGCTTGGGAGACATTTTCTTTCACCTTTGAAGGCAACCCCCTTACATCCCTAGTTGATCCGTCTCACACATGGGTTAGTCGAACCTCACAGTTTCCAGAAACTGGAAAACATAATCAAAAGACAAACCTCTTTTGCTGAAACTGCAAATATCTCTGGAAGCCGTCGGGTCTGAAGGCGTTCCGCATTTAGTGTGGGTGGTGGGTAGTTTTCTGCGTGGTGCATAATATTCAATAAATCAGGCTTGAATGATGTGAATTCTCGTAGCAAGGCCTCCAGGTTGCTTCGGTTCGCGAGCACCTGTAGAGAGTGAGCAGATGAAGATGAAACAGAAGCTCGGGACTTCTGCCATGTAACCCGTAAGGAAAGAACAGAAGTGATTCAATGGTGAAAGGTCAGTGCGGTGACACATCTAGTGCGTACGACTGAAAACGTCGCAGAGTGAGCAGTTCCCACCGCTAATCGTGCAGTTGCTATCAGAGAAACCCAACAGTGGTGGTTCAAGGCGCAAAACTCTCCATCGTATATGATTGGATACGCAATCTAGGGTGACACGAGTAGGATAGCAGTTCGGTAAGCGAAATACCCTACATGATTTCCTATCTTCCATCGCCGGTGATGGACCATGGATGTCTTCCAGAACAAAAAAGGAAGATGGACTTTAACTCCACTGTGTGTGATACATGTGTGGTAACCTTTATCATACCCACACATTCAAGCAGACAATCTGAATACCGTAGCCCTACAACGGAGGAAAACTACCCTACTGAGTTGTCGCATCCTAAGAAAATCAATAGGAACCACTGGGAAAAGTGGAGGTGTTTATCGATCAAAGAAGGCTGTGAAGCACTACAGCTGAATGCGCTAAAATAAGCTAAATGCCTGTAGTTCATAGGAATGAGCTTAACAGCTGTGAAAAACATAAAATATGTCTTACACCTCTTCATCTTTTGGTCTGCGAACCCAGCAAAACGAGCCTCAGCTGCACAGCCAAAAAGGTCTAGAGTTAGCCAGATCCCTGATATCTTAGACAGCGGCTAGCTCGGAGTACACACAGAGTCGAGGCGAGGAATAAATGTCCAAAATAAACCCAAAAATAAAGCCAACACACAAATCAACCCGACTCCGGGCAGGAGAAGTAAAACTCATAGGTAGTTCATAATTTTAAAAGACGATACCTCTGAAAGTAGTTCACGTTGATACGTTTGACAGTCACTGATCACATGATTGGCATTCTCGAGATACGAGTCGCTTGCCATGTCTATCCTGGTGAAACCAAAAAGCAGAGGACGAAATCAAGTGAACTACCCAGAGGTAGCAAGTATGCCACTATAAAATCTAGAAGTAAACTCATTTTCCGTACAACTGAGAAGTAGTTGTAAACGATGTAGAAACACAAGACAGAGGAGAATGATGCTAGTCCTAAGAATGGTAGACATGTTCACGGCGAGGTGCTCACTGGAGCTTAATTCATCCTCTAAATGCCATTAAACCAGAGTTGGACACCGAGCCAGAAAGTTCGCAGCCGTTCCGAGGCAAGCACTTCATGCAAGTAGGTTGAAGGAATGAACAAAGCCCCAAACTCAAATTATCATCTTATTCCATAGTAATCCCTAACAACACTTCATCCGCCTCTCATATAGGATAAACAATACAACTAAATTATCATTGGTGTGACCAATCATCTGAGAAGCCTTCGTCTTGCTTCCCGCGCTCGACTGGGGAAGTTGATAGATGTGACATATAGACAGCGTTCACGCAGCTGGTTTCTACTCCTATTGTTCGAGTGACTGTTTCAAGGTGTAAACAGCCCCTGATAGGCGAGCATCAGGCCCTTTCTCTGTCCATTCCTTTCTGTTTTCCACATTGTTGTTTTTCCTGGTGAAACCAAAAAGCAGAGGACGAAATCAAGTGAACTACCCAGAGGTAGCAAGTATGCCACTATAAAATCTAGAAGTAAACTCATTTTCCGTACAACTGAGAAGTAGTTGTAAACGATGTAGAAACACAAGACAGAGGAGAATGATGCTAGTCCTAAGAATGGTAGACATGTTCACGGCGAGGTGCTCACTGGAGCTTAATTCATCCTCTAAATGCCATTAAACCAGAGTTGGACACCGAGCCAGAAAGTTCGCAGCCGTTCCGAGGCAAGCACTTCATGCAAGTAGGTTGAAGGAATGAACAAAGCCCCAAACTCAAATTATAATCTTATTCCATAGTAATCCCTAACAACACTTCATCCGGAAAATCTTCATCGGGTGGGACAAATACGTGACTTATATGGTCCTCAAACTTACAATACTATTCCTGTCCCTTCTGGATTCTCTTTCACACACTGACCTATGCAACATGGTAATTGAGGCCGTGACCTGCCCGTGGAGAGTTCAGGACAGCAACACGAAACCATGCCAGACAATGAGAGGGAAATAGTGGCACTACAGTAAAATCTACAGTATGTGATCGACTTTATTTCTGTCTCAATGGAGTGTCCCCGAAGAAAGTGCTGGATTCGACCAGCCCCAAAAGTATTGATAATGTGTATTGGCAATGTGTCTAACTACTAGCAACTCCACTGGGTTAATTGGCCGCTGATCAGGTGGCAGTTGATCCGTTCGCCGAGCTGGGCATTGCAAACGTTTCATTACCACACAGAGGAGCCATCGTCAGTGCGCGATCAGGCTGGTCACTCAACCCGAAATCGAATGAATTCATCAAACCTGCTTCTCCAGTCTTCCTGCTGGTCCAAAATCGCATATTAATCATCATTAGAAACGAAACTCCAAAAGTTGTGTGTGGTGCCGGGACTTCTACCCGCGATAAAATCCAGCCGGCCTGTTTCAAGCATAGGATTTCTGATAGGGCCGTGGCTTTTCAGTGATGTTTTCTATGAACGGGGTGTTGTAACAGTCCGTCAAATCACAAACTGACACGTTTCGGTTTCGATATTGTTGAAGGTAGTCGTCGAGGCTGTGCCTACAAATCAGTTGAATAGCTCCCTTGACAAATCATGGACACGTTTCGGTTTCGATATTGTTGAAGGTAGTCGTCGAGGCTGTGCCTACAAATCAGTTGAATAGCTCCCTTGACAAATCATGTTCAATTTCAGGCTTTTGAAAAACTAAGTAGCCACGTCTCATGTTTGCATACTTCACCATATTACACCACCATTATGTCACTGATGTGGAAGGTAGCCAAGGATCAACGTTGTCCACATACATAACACGGAGTCGAGCTCATAGATAGACCAATGGCCATATAAATCCCGACTCGGCTTGAACAAACAGACTACGACAAAGTAACCGGAAACGCCATCCTGAACAGAACTTCAGAACAGAGGATAGCAATACAGGGTTTGCAGTCTTTTTAGCAGCAGGTGATTGACGCAGCGTTTTCCATAATCATCATGGGCGGTGTAGCAGGTATGCACCGAAATGGTGTTACAACTGGACGATAACGAGATCGTGGTGGTAACTGAATAGACTATTTATGTAATTGTAATTGCGTAATTTTGAGAGAATAATTTTCAAAAGAGACACTTTCCAGGGAAACTATCGCTGTCTTGAGTCGAGTTATCAGGACTTTCTGGTGTAAAGCACACCAAAAATATGTAAAACTTCGCTGTCACGGAGGTAGTGATGTTGATGTGTTCGTGAAAGGGCTGTTGGGCTAGTTGCAATGCACAGTTTTCCTGTTACGTAAGGTCTGAAACCAGAAAACTCACGGGTTCCAGCGATTCTCTGCAAACTCTTTCACCTCAGCAACAATCTTTGATAGTCCTGTCTTGGCTGCTGCCAATTGCTCTTCTCGCTTCACCAAATGCGAACTCAGACTACTAAAATGGGAAGGAAAATATTGAGCTCTTGATTGCATTGACCGTACGGATTTCATGATTATCATTCAATGCCTTCCAGAGCAGACGTGATAATCAACAAGCTATGATTGGAATCTTACTCCGAGTAGATGCTCGAGATGCTCTGTCATGTTGTGTTTCGTTCCTAACGAGCTTCCTCAGGTTAATATAGAGAAATCAGCCACGTGATAAAAGCCAAAAGCCGATATATAAAAAAGTGAACCATCTGGTAGGGCCACGGGGATCTGTGCAACTCTAAGTAAACTAACAAGACTATATGATTTCAAAATACAGGTGCATAAGCAATCCAGGTTACTCAAAACCAATGACAACAAGAATCAATCCATTCAGTTTACGGACTAGTATCTGCGTACCTACAAATCCAAGGAAGAATAGTGAAATGTGAATGTGGAATGTGATAAATCGAACGCTAAATGGTGTCAGGTATCGACTGGCACGAAGAATGAGATAACTCCAGGTTGCCCAAGCCTCGATAGAAGCAGTGAAGATACCCGAGCTGGGCTCGGGCTACAGATCTTCCGGTTATTAAGTTCACGCCTTAACCACTGAGCTAGCTCGAGTACCTGTACCTGGGTGGAGACAAGGAAAGATATGGAGGCTAATCTTTTTAGTGGCACTCAGGGTGCAGTTTCCCATCCAGATAGTCTGGAAACGAAGGAACCTCAATCAATATCTGTGAGTTAGCACTAAGCCTCTCCCTTTTCTACGTTTTTTTCATTACGTGGCATTTTATAAACCGATATGGTGATGTTGCAGAAAGCACCAGGCTTCCACGCTGCCGTTGCGTACAGTGATGGGGTTTGAGAAGTGGGTCAGGAACAGGTTCGAACTGCAAGGATATTCAAGTGTTGGATATTTCAGAGCAATCTTACTTGTCAATCGTACAGAATATCGCCCGATCACGAACATTTGATCGAATCAATCCATGGATACTTGAAACTAAATCAGCAAGGCAGTCTGAAAGGGAATCACCGCGTAAGGGTCGCAGCAATGCACTCTAACCTGGTACAGATGAAAGCTTGGATTGGAGCACGAATGAAGACAGGGCACTTAGAAACTCGACAGCTGTTACCCCACCGGGGTATCCAAGGACAGAAAATACACTAGCAGGTAGTTTGATTGCCTGAAACTTGGAACGCCATTAAATGGACGGGCTCACTGGTCGGCATTCTCTGAGCCATTTCGAAATGACGCACTTCAAAGCAGTCTCGGAGGTTGGACAGGTATGCTGCCTATTAAGACAGATGTAAAAAGTGGACATGTACTCACGATAGTTCCCTACTGAAATGTCCTTGATCCAAGGTGAGCAGAAGAAAGCGAAGGATGGAAATAAATTGTGCTTTTCGAGGTATCCTGAAGAAGGCACTTTATTCAAAAGAAATATAGCTGCCCAGAAGTACTTACGAAAAGGTTTCGGGGTCAAATGGGACGTTATTCTGTTCAAAACTGAAATCCAATAGCTTCAAGTTGCGACAAAGAACAAGTGCGTGGATAGAATACATTCAGGCAGCAAGTTCTGAAATAACAAAACAAACGAGGAATCTGTCGCAAACTACTGAAGATGCAGGACCCCCGTGAACAAAGACTGGTGATAAAAATTCAGCGGTGTGAAGTTAGAATGCAGCACTTCTGGGAGGGAGTCACTTACACCGATCGCAGAATTGAACAGTGGTTCAGCTGCAGCAAATTTTCGGTGCCTAACTGCCATGCTACCTGAAGGATGCACGAGGGCTGCGATCCTGCCAGGCTGCCCAAGCCTAAACAGGGGAAGTCGAGAGGCAGAGGTCGGGTTCGAACACGACCTTCCGGTCAGTAAATTTGTGCTCTAATCACTGAGCCATTTAGCCCCATCGGGTCGGCAACTGCCGCCCCTCTGGATGCGGACCCCGGGACTCAACTCAATAATGGTTAATAACACTGGCAGAAATGGCCCAATCGCGCAGGTAATGGAGATCGTTGATCTAAGCTATCCCCTTCAATACGTAACTGCCCAGTTCCAGGATTAACCGGATGTACCATCGCCTCCAAGGCTTGGTTGTATGTCCAAAACTCTCTCGTTTTCCAGTGATCGAAACTGTAGCAGCTGGAACCAATGTGCTTATGGTGCACGGTTTACAGCTGATAAGTTGATTGATTGACACTTCAGATCTAGGTTCTTAACAGCCTAAGTTGGTTTCGCATGCTGTAGAAAAGACGCGACCATTTCCATTAACCATGATCCATTTTCAAATTGACATGGCTTTGAGAATGACGATGATCACACATTCCATGTAAGGATAAATCGGAAAGCTTGTCGTGTGCTGGGAATTTTTAGAGTTGAACGGTCACCTATCCGTGCTTGCCTCCATCAGTATATAGAGCTATTCCCGAAATTCGAAGGCGAGATGTGCTTGATGAACCTTGACATACTTGACATTTAACTTCAAAAACAAGCCACACGTGATTCCTAGGGACTGCTGACAATCAATATAAACTGCGAGTTTTTCAGCACCATAAAATATACTGACAAAATGGTCGTCTTTCTGACCCAGAAAATATTCCCGCCATAACACGTGAGTCCGAAGACCCAATCACAGTTTTTCTCCAGTAATGCAACTTGTTCGTCGTCTACTGAATCATGTTTTGAAAAATGATGTGCAATGGAACTGGTCATACGAACACCATTTGACAAGACACAACCACAACTTAATTATAACTGACGGCTCATCCACGTTCATTTATGAATATTAGTGTTGTGTCAGACACATTCAGCAACGACAGTGGAAAAGGCGTTTCCCATTTTTTACCGACAGGGATGAAAAAGCCATACTCACGCCACCAGATTCTCAAATGAGCACAATTATGGGCAAATCGAGGAGGCCCTGATAATTGTTCACCATCCCACCGTTCTCTTTCATATACTTTTTATTCGACCTCCTGCCAGCACGTCAACAGCACTCATCCTGTGGACCCATCCTCCAATACTGACGAGTCCGTTCGTCTTACACCGGTCCTGGTCGTAAAATCTGTGCATTAGATGGCACTGATAGCCTCAGGCATCTCGAAATCAACCTTCAAGCCTCGATGCCTGGTCCAGCTGGCCAATTTTAATGTTTGCACACTGAAGCAGGGAAAATGATCTCCTCTTGTTGTCACATAGGCTCGCTTGGCATTGTTGTGTGTTGCGTATCGCACAATGCGGATTCAAATCCCACTGGGTGGGACCGATTATCTTCTCTTCGGCGTAGACTACCCTCACGTCCACCGGAAGATAACTTGTTCCACATACAAAGACTTGGGCAACTATTACCCGGCTACCAATTCACGCATCTATACTGGTAGGTGGTGTTAAAGCTCCTAGAACCTTCTGGATGGCATTCCATCGAGTCTAGTGGAAATTATGGATAAACGTTGACCATGGTCGTTCAGTGCAGCATTTGGATTCAGCAAGTCGTCACACCCACCAGATACCGCGAACGCGAACACCATCCACGATGGATTTGGTTATCATCAACGAAGGACACTTCCTCTCCATGAGGGACAGAAACGGGGAACCCACGAGTGACCCAATGGTTGCATCCAAAGCCTACAGAGTACACTATGCAGGCTTGTACTCTGCCCCAGAAAACTTCATCACATCCAATTTCGGCAAGGCATAACCACGAACAACTGCTGACTACCAGTATTCACGGAGGAGGATCTTCCTCAACTCTTGCACAAGACACTCCTTCAGAGCGTTGGGTCCGGACGAAGTCCATCCAAGGAGCACAAAGGAAACTACGCCCAAATTGGCGAAGCATTTCCACCTGTTTCGCCAGTCACTCGATGAAGCAAGGCCTTCCATCTGCTTGGTAGGAAGTAATCGTTAATCCAATCTACAAATCTGGTGAACAAGTATCGCGCGGCGGCTACAAGTCCATTGTCCTAACTGGCATACCGTGCAAGGTGATGGAACGCATTTTGAAGCGGGCTACCTTAAATCACCTCATTGTTAACAAGGTGATATCCTCGACACGGACTCTTTTCAACGGTTCTTTCGTGACGATCATTACCGTATGTACGGACAGCTTAATCCAAACAAAAAACATTTCGGACGTCATGGGACGAGAAGGTTTAGTAGGTAAAGCGCAAATCTATTGATCGGGAAACCCGTGGTTCGAATCCAACCTCTGTCTCTCGACTTACCCTGACTAGGATTGGGTGACTAGGCAGTATCCCGGCCCTTGTGCTTCCTTCTGGTGGCATTGCGGATAGCCACCAAAAGGGTGCCACAGCTGAACGATCTTTCGAGTCTGCAAAACCATTCGATCGATTCTCACACGTTCCCATGCTCCAAAAGCCCGGGTCTTATGGGACTTGAAGAGAAATTTGGCGCTCCAACCAGACACAACAATCCGATTGAAAGAAGGCTCGACCTATTCTTCTTCGGCACCGGCCTCCATTGTTGTTCCTTCAGGCTCCGTTTTAGGACCACTCCTGTTTCTGAACAACATCAATCACCTTCTGGATGCGCTTTAAGTCCACGTTTACTTTTTGTGAACAACTTGAAGGCCTCACCATCATCATTGTCAGCTGTAATA